AATTACTTTTAAGAAGAGGCTCAATGTATTTACGAAAGTCATGATACCACATCACATCAGTGAAACCTGGACTTTCTGACTGAAGGCTGTTCTTTCCAGTCCTGCACTCAAGTGCATCTATACAGACTGAGACAAACATCCCTAGCAAAAGCAAGTCAGTCTGGTGGAACAACACATACTGCATTTCAAAACCACATTGGATTTGCTGACAGGCTCCAAGTTAAGAAAAAATATTCCTTCTAAATTGCACTCAAACCAAATAATTTCAATACTAATGACTCTTCTGACACAGCAGAATGGCCAGAGCATAAATCCTCCTTCCATGAATAGTCACCATTTCTTAAATGGACAAGATACCTGGACAGCCTTAACCGAGAGCCATGTCACAAGTCCCTACCAGCTACTTACCATCCTCTTATATCACCCCACTCCTTATTTTTCAGTGTTGACAACATCAGCGTTGTATTTCTGATGCTTTATGTGATTTCGCCCTCCAGGTACTGGTTATTTCTTCATTCAACTCTCTGTTACTCCAATACTAAAGTTTCTCTGGGCATTTCACCCTGATGCAGACTGTAGCACATACATCTTACTCTGTTGTGGGATATCATGGTGATGCAGATTTACTGGCTTATTCAAGACAGGGACCTTTGGAAACCTAAATACTTATTGGTCCTTCAGTGGGCACTGTTGCTGCTTGGTTAGACCAATGCCATTACCACTTTTTAAATGTTTTACTCAAAAATAAGCTAAAAGGCAAATTTCATACCTGTTTTCTTTTTGGAGAGCAGATGGGTATGGTGTTAATACATCATCATGTATCCTGAGCCTCTCTCTCCTCAGCACTGCGCAGATGCTTGTTATCTAAGTAACAGGCATTTTACAGCCAGCAAGAGGGATGGAGAACACAGAAGCCCATGGTTAAGCCTACTCTCAAACCTGGCTTTCATTTGGCGGTGCAGAAGAGATTGCCTGTGTGATAGAGAAAAAAAATTCAAAGTGATTCAGCTATTCAAGGTCTTGGGCCCAATGGAGAGAGGATTGTAACAAGCAAACCTGGTTTTTCAATTTTAAACTTAGCTTCTATTAAACAAAATGTATCTTTAAGTACTTCTTCACTGAAATGTCACCCACAGCTCTCTACTCCTCACTCCTGTGCTGAAGGTGGACAGCTTTCTTTCCTCACTCTACACTTGCACTCCCTTCTGCTTGCTAAGAAAATGCCTGAAAGTTTACCTGATCCAGAAATTATCTTGGAGCTACACTCCAGCATTGGTTTTCACAAACAAAATGAAGAAAACTCATCATGTGTCAACTGACACATACTCACAGCTATTTGAAATCAGGTGTTTGTAAGCAGTTAAGCTGAAGCTCTTTTGTGAAACATTACTACATAAAAATGAGAACATTCCTGCCTGCTTGCACATATTATCATTCTTTCAATTAACAGAACTGCATTACAACCACTCCTACTGGCACTCCAGAATCACTTGCATTATATTATCGAAATGAATTACTAAAGGTTCAAAATGACTCAGCTAATTTACCAGCTTCCTGATGCTATTCCACCCACAAATTTCCCAATGTATGTTGGATTTTTAAATCTTTTCAACTCTTGTACTCATGAACTGTCAAAACAGAAAACAATTTAAAAACCTGAACAAATTAATGCCCCATATTGAGAGAATAAGGGGATACAATTCAGAGTAGGAAAAGTTGCTGAAGCCTCTCTTACGGCTAAGGCAAGACTAAAAGAAACTTTAAACTTCACCCTTCTCACTCACATTGCCCAAACCAAGGCAGCCAGTTCAGTTCACAAACTAGTCAGTACAAAACACTAATGTAAATATAACATACCTGAACACAGTGAAAAACTTCACAGTTATGAAGGCAGCATTACCACATAAAGATGATTTAACAGTTGCTACATAAAATAAAAACAAGGGAAATACAACTTGTGTAACACCGACATTTCTTTCAAATGTAGTCAGGATGAAAATACATAAACCTTGCCCATTTTTATGCTGCACTGGACTCTGTAGCGTCATATATACAAACAGGAACAAACTTACTTCCCTCACATTCAGTATTAGGTTGCAGCTGCAATCCACTGTGCTCCCCCAGGTTCCCAAGCTTGGCAGCACCGTCAGCAACACATCAATGCTGGTGGACAGAAAATAACTCACAATCAGACACCACAGAGCAGAAAACATTTTAACAACAGAGAGGTCTGTTCATAGTCCACCTACAGAGAAAGCATATCCACAAGTGTGGTTTCCAGAACATTTGTCTCCCATAACACAGGAGGTAGTTAGGCAGTTTTTCTCCCTTGCTGTGTGTGCAAACTCCAACATGGAATGAATATGAGTTACTTCCACTTTAGCTTTTAAGAAACAGCATTTGTCACTCCTTTGAGAGCAGCGGGTGAAAAGAAGTGGGAATTCCAGCCAGTACGGCTAATTCCTTGGATCAGATTTTGAAAAAATAATTCACATCCATTTTCTTTGTTAAGAGGCACGAAAAAATATCACTTAACATATCTATGTAACCAATCTTCATGTCAACTCTATTAAAAACCAACCAACCAAAAATAAAATACATGATCACACAATTAGCCTGCTTGTGATAAAGCACGCATGGTTTCAGACAATCCTTTAAGCAATGTCATAGACAGAATTGAAGATAATGAGAGAAGCATCTAAATCATAGATGTTTTCAGGCTATCTTCTGGTGCCCTCTCATTCATGACATGGTGGACATCAAACTCCTTTTCATTCCCTTATGCAACATTACTGGAGGAACCTACAGTAGCTGACGTATCTAAATACGGTCAGGAGTTATCTTCAAAACTTGAGATCCCCTTGGCAATGCCTTGGGAGGGAGACCATTGGCACAGACAGGGGTGTCCATTTACAATAAACATAAATCAATTCAAATGTTTGTCTTTACAGGAAGACATAAGTAGGAATCCAAAGAACTTGCAAGTACATCTCTCCATTTCTAAGACTGTCAATTACACAGTTAAATACAGTATATGAACTTCTGAACTTCATACCAAAATGATCAGCTATTTTGAAAAAAAACCCCAACTAAATGAATGAGGTAAAAAAATCTTCAAGCCAAAAGCAACAACAAATCACAAACCAAAACACACCCCAAGCCCCACAAATTAGATGTTAACATAAGGTTTCAACCAACGCAGGCCTTTTTAACTTTGGAACTATGAAAGCATCAACAGTCCCCTTTGTTACACTTGCATGCTTAAGACTTAATAAATGAAAAAGAAAGGATTTAGGTCTTCCTACAGAAGCAGGACACACAAACTTGATCCAATCTTGACTACTTGAGATGACTTTTCACCAAGTCCTCTATCACAAAGAGTTATCACTAAACAATTCAAGGGATCCCGCTGATTTCTTGCACAATACATCACAGTCAGTATGACATACATTACCTTTGCCTCAGATATAAAGAGAAAAAAATTTCTCATACATTCTCTACAGTGACATACTTTGTTCTTCTGTGATTTTTGATAGAGCAAAGCTGCTGTTTTCTCTTAATTGATTCAACTGCCTCAGCATTTTCAGAAAAGTACTTTATCAAGAACTTTAAGAATAGCTTTGGACCCAGAATTATGTTTGAACCCTTCATCTTTTTCACAACTGACTGGATACGCAACACAAATGTTCAATCTGAATTATTTCTAAAAACAAGCATGATGGTATTTCCTCATCAGCTGCAACTGAACAGGTAATAGCCCATTGCAGAATGTCTTATACCCCCACACAAAGTGCCCTGGGCAGGTTGATGTAACTCCCTGCACAAAAGACTGCCATATCGTAACCCCCATGTGTTACCTTCTCAGCCTGAACACAACAAACCCTGGAACCATCAGTAAGGCTGTTTAAATCAAGTATGTCAGACCCAAGTCTGCCTTTGCAGTCAAAGAATATTATTCACACATGCGTATTTCTTCCCCTATGAAGTTATATGGTGTAATATAAATGTGCCTACTTCCTGCCAAGCAATTTAACAGTGACAGAAGGGGACCCCCTTTAGAGTTCCTTATGTGCTTACTGTTAGTTACTGAAACAACACCCACAGAGTCATTTTCACCTTCAGACAGACTGAACTAGCAAATTTTCAGCCAAGCCAGTACCACAGCACACTACCACAGCCAGCCTCTTTTTCTTTAACAGGGTGCTTTATTTTTTAAACAAATAACTTAGTTTTCAGAGAAAGCAAACCAAACAACTCCTTCTTCGAAGAAGCATATTACAGCTAAGCAGACTTCTCATCAGGTGACAATTCCTAGCCACTTGTATACCCCAGAATTTATTTGTATATCCCAGAATCTACTTGCCCATCTCTAAAGAAGTGTTTATTTGAAAGGTAGACTAAAAGATTGTCCCTTGGTCACAAGGAAATCCACGGCAATCAATGACAGAGCAAATTTGAAGAGCCCTTGCTCTGGTAACTAAAAATAGGCAGTTTATATGTAAAATTACAGCATTTGGCGTGTTGCACTGCCAAGCTTTCATAAATTTACCACTTATGAGGCAGGAAAAGATGTTTACAAAATAAATAGTAACACTGAGGCTTTAACATGGTTCAGATTATTCAAGAACAGTAGGGAATTACAAACCTTCACAAAAAAAACAAACCCTAAACCCCAAAAGATTTCTCCACCTAAAGGCACCACTGCTGGAAATGCAGGGTTTTGAAAAGACAAAGGTTCAGCACTAACATGGATTAAAAATGCAAAGATAAGCACTCCAAATGACAAACTGCGCTGTCCTCTTACTGGCTGGCTCTCCTATCAGCTGCACAAAAAAAAAAAAAAAAAAAAGAACATTCTCATTTATTACATTTCTCTCTACAAATTTTGGGCCAAAGGAGACCTGAGGGCCTGCTCACACTGCTACTTTTTGACAAAAGAAACCAAGACACCTAATTCTGGTCTGTTCAGTTAAATCTGTATCACAAAATCGAAACAGATGAAGGGTGTGTAGCTTTTTATTTCTTTGTATCTACATGTGGGTTTTCAGACCACTTCTTCCAGGTTATCCAAATGGGAAGTTTTCCTACTGTACATATTATATAAAGCGACAGAGGCAAACACCACTTCCCTACCTAAAATAATCTGCTTCTCACAGACATGGCAAGCCAATTCACAGCCACTTCTGCACAAACATAGCCATAGGTAAACACAACAGTTTGAATTCAACACTAGTGAACAGCATACATGTAAGCAGAACCTTCCAAATCAAAACTAGCTTTAAAACAAGAACTCCATAAAGCCAAAATCCAAATTAAAAATCCCCACTAAACCCCACAATACATCGCATGGTTTTATGTCATCCCCAAAGTTGTATTTCTGAACAATTTATCTTGTTGCATGAATTTAAGGAAAAAAAAAAAAAAAGAAGAAAGAAAAAACTGAAATGCAGTATTCTGCATGCCTGGTTATAGCCTAAATATGCTGTAAGTAATGGTAACTGTTAGTAGGAGAAATATTTAAGTTCCCTTAATATTTCATTACACTACCCATTTGGAAAGCATTAGTGCTGAAATGGTGGCCCAGAACTATGTCTGTGTTAATTTCATATAAAAACCCACCGCTTTTACAATCGTGTTTCAATTTAATTATTGTACACAGGTTAACAAAAATGTATCACAAGTGAAACTAAACACTGGATTTAACAAAAACAATATTCAGAATGGTACAACACATGTTCATTTTCTCCAGGAAATAATATTACAAGTGTTCATCTTAGGACAATTTAGCCACATTAGAGACAGAAGTTCTGTTAAAATGCAACTGTGGTTTACTAAGCCACTTATTTTAGCACTACAGAGTATCTGAAGTCAGAGTCCTATAGCCAAGGCTTAAAATTTGTTTAAGATTCAAACTCCAAAACGTCCTACAGTCAAAATGACAGTATTTTAAAAAAACACACAACAAAATAACCCCAAAACAATTAAAAGGCTGTTGTATATAATTTTATCCTCTTCATAGCACTCTCTATTCATATAGTTGCTTGTATCATTGGTAATAGGGTCTGTATCTGGCTTGATCAGGGTGATGTGGTCCAGGAAGCGGGGCCTGAGCAGGAGGCCCTTGCATCCTTGGAGGTGGAGGTGGCCCCCTTGGAGCTGGCCATATCCCTGGACTCATTCCCCCAGGCTGTGTGAAAGGGGGACTAAGAGTTCCTTGATCTTCACTGAATTGCGGCAAAGAGTTTGGATTATAGTGATGGGGAGGGGGTGCATTTACATTTACAGGTGGGCCTCCATGCTGAGGAGGGGGAGGTCCTGGAGGAGGATGATTCATATATGGTGGCATCTGGGCAATTATATGTCCAGGTGGTGGGGTAATAGGAGGAGGAGCAGAGGTCATTGGTGGTGGAGGAGCTTGGCTATACACCATGTGAGGAGTACCTGCTGCCTGGGGAGGGTGCTGCAGCGGATGGCTTATTGGTGGAGGTGGTGGTGGGGGTGGTGCATAATGCTGCTGTGGAGGCATAATATGATGAGGGTGCGATACCACTGGTTGACCCTGGTACTCAGGATGATGATGAGCAGGTGCAGGGGCTGGTGGAGGTGGTTCTCGAGCACCTGAACTGGAATCATCCTGAATAGGGACAGTGATTAAGTTGCTGTGTTTTCTCGTGGAGATGCGGAAGGTGTCCTGACTGACTGGGCGAGGTGGTGGTGGAGCCATTGACATCTCTGCAGGAGGTGCACGAATGTCTTCATGTGGCTGGTTGTAATGCTCATGTGGCACATGCTGTAAAGGAGGTGGTGGCATCATGATGTGCTGCTTTGGCGGAATGTGGCTCATATGATGTTTCTCAGGTGGCATTATGAAGCGCTCAGGAATTTCAGCAGGCGGCGGGGCAATAGGAGGATGTACAGGTTCAATTGGAGGCCGACTAACAGGCTTCCCAGCTCTCATATGGCGGTGGTTGATGTGAGCTTGTAAGTCCCTCTGTGACAGGTAAGTTCTCTTGCACCCTTGAACAATGCTACACATGAAGAGAGACCCTCGTACACACTGCTCAATTCGCTGCACTGGTTCATTACAGCTAAATCATAAGAGAATATTGGTTTAGAGTCATCATAGAGAGCTTTATCTGCAATATTTTTTTTGTTGAGTCAATTAGTTTACCATAGTTACACAAATCGGAACTGACAATTTCCTCTCCACCATAGCAAGGAAAGAAACATTGATTTTGAAGTTCATCTTGGTTTTAAGTTTCCAAACACAACTAAGAAAGACCATTAAAATTTCATGAGGTGGAAACTTATAGATAGCTTCACTCTCACAAATTCCCTCTGTGCATTAAGACTAGAGTCACTCTCACTAAGTAAATTAAACTGCTGTTCATTCTTTTTCAAATTAGAGCTGTAACAAGTTACCTACCCAGATACTTAAACAGTAAATGCTGATCTCTTGAAATCCCAAAATATAAGATACGAAAATATAATCAGCTGATTAAGTAGAGAGTATTCTACTGCCTCTGCTAAAAAACTATATAAATAATTACATAAATAACTGCTAACACAGTATCTAAAATAAGGTATTTAAGTTACTTTCCTACATTTGTTTTAATAACAAGTCTAGCGATAACTTACCCTGGACACATCTTGTCTCCCTTTTTCTCATGTAGTATAGCACAGTCATAGCAAAAAACATGCTTGCAAGGTATCTAGAGACAAAAAAACAGCTCTGTTAGGTCACTGTATATAAATATCTGTGTCATTCTGCAGAATATAGTTCCTTCCTATGGTACAAAATAATAACAAGTAGCTAATAATAAAAGTAACTAAGTTCCCTATAAGGTGAACAAGCACAGCCTGTGAACAGGTAGTTAGCAGTTTACACCATCTTTGCATAGAAACTTTCTAAAACAGTTTGTGTTGAGTTTGGGGTTTTTGGGGGTAGGTTTGTTTGGGTTTTTTAATGTTGGCAAAAAACATACAGGCAAAAGTTTAGGTTTTGCAATAATACCAAAAAGAACATTCACAGAAGCTGCATATGAAATCTAATTACACTTCTCTTGCTGGCAAGGAAGAAAAGTTTTAAAAGCATTAACTGTCATTAAGCCAGATCCTGAAGCCTGTTACATCACACTTAGAAATCTAATTTAATCTCAGGGATTCTGTCACACTAACTTTAAAGGGACATAAATGCAAACTGATTTCTAACATCACTGTGACTCTTAAAGAGCTTCCTTTTAAACCTAAGTGGTGTAAGGTCAAAACCCAATGAATCTGAAGGGGTTTTTTTGTCGATATGCTGATTTTTTTGTTTAACGTTTTCAATCTTACTTCATTACATCAGGACATCAGGGGGCAAAGTGAAATCAGCCAAATGGAAAAAAAACCAAACACATCAGCAATGAAGGGCCCCGCTTCCATCCTGACATTCTGCTGATTTCAGCAAGTGCCTGAATAAACAGTAACCTCTAAAGGCTTCACAGAAACACAGTAAAAACTAATTTTACCTAAAGGGAAGCCATGACTGCATCTTGCACTGATAGTTTCACTCACCATGCGTCCATACATTTTGATGGGCAATCCACACTTATCACAAAAATGGACTGGTGTATCATCCTTTTCCCCCAGCAAGTTTATCTGATAGGGTAGAGAAGGGAGTGGGAGAACAAAAAAACATCACTAAAAGCTTCTCATTTCAATTATTATCAACACACTCACTATTTCTGAATTAGTTGAGAAAGAAATGTGAGAAAGCAGAGGATGTATTTTCAATCAGTCAGTCAAAAATAATGCAAGCACTTTTACTTAAGAAGGTATCTACCAGAACTATCTACAGCTTGGAATGATTCACAAAGATTCATGACTTTCCATCCATGACTTTACCTTATAGTCCCAAAAGATGGGTCCAGGGAATCTCCTTTGACTGCCAAACATTTCACCGCCTTTGCATTCGTATCGCTCCTCTTTGTTATATTCAAATTCTTCTGTGAAAAGAAGAAAGAAAAGAAAGACACAGCCAGCCACCATGCTTTCCTAACTGACACCAGCTGCTATTAAAAGCATGTATCATTCTATACGGAAACCATCAAGAAATGCACTTCCAATGTGCAGAGCCCATTCTACAGAAAGGTAGAGTCAAAACACTAAGACTGTTTTGGGAGTGTGCATCATGTAATCCTTATAGCGCAACAGTACCAAGGAATTTGAAATTTGTTTGCACTTAGACAGAACCTTGGACTCCAAGTCTTCAGGACTGAATACAGTCTTGAACAATGCTGAAGTATAATATGCTCCCCTACAGGGCTAGTATTTATATCAATTTACCTTCATCACCAGCTTGTGTCTTCGAAGGCATCCTGTTCATATTTCTTGGAGTTCGAGGTGCAGGTTTGGTTTTACTGGTCTGTTTTGAGATAAGCTTTATAGGGATTCTTCTACGAACATCAAGACCACCCAATGATCCTGAACTATTTGTTCCTTGCAAATCATTGTCTATGAAAGGGGAAAAAAAAAAAAAGTTACATTTTTTTTAGTTATCTAATAGTTTCCAGAAGAGTTTTAAGAAAAATAACTTTTAAAGCTTGTTTAAGACTCCTACAGCATATCAAAGTTTAATCGCTACAAAATAAGTATCTTCACACACAGTTTTTTCTAGAAGACAAAAAAGACTGCACTGGGGCAAGTGTGATTTTTAGGAAATCTAGTTATAAAAATAAAGCTATTTTAAAAAGTTAGCAAGCCTGTCATTCCTCCACAAAAGGAAATAACCTCAAACATTAATTGTATAGCTTCTCTCACAGCATAAATAGTACTGAAGAGTCAATTCTTTGTACAACCTTGACAACACAGAATTTCTTATGAGAAGGGGTAATTTTTACAACTTATGTAAATTGTTTATTAAAATTGGAAGGAAATTAGTTTTTTTATTAACTCGCCATCTTGACATATCACAAGTTTAGCATAAAGCATCACAAAAATATCAATACTTAAGAATACATAGTAGTATCATTGCTAAACTGAAAATTATTGTTCCCCACTACACACAGAACTCTCTTTAACCAGACTTAAATCTGAATACCAGGCCAAAGGAAGCAGAAAGTAGCCTGACACACGCATCAGTAGATACAATGCTCTGAGAGATAATCAAAAGGTGGGTATGGCAATAAACAATACCAATGAAGGCAGTACGACTCCCTCATCTTTCAGTGAGTCCACCTTCAACCACTGCATAGCACCTCATCCACACAAAAAGAAAGCTGTCCTTCACAAATCTACCCAGCTCACTATTACTTAAATGGAAAATGCCATTCCGGCAGCTGTTTCAAAGCTCAGCCTTCAAGGGGTGTACCACAAGCTGTCACAGCATAAGCCCTACGCTCCACTTGACAGAGCACTGGAATGATCAAGACCCCAAGGGATTATAGTACTGTAGCATCTGGACACTAAAATTAGGGTCCCATTAGTGTAACTCTGCACAGCATCTCACACACTACTGTTCCCCCAAAGCCTATAAACATCCCACACAACACAACAAGTAGGAGAAGAAATAAGGAAAGGGGGAAAAGGGATTGCCCTAAGCAGCTACCACAGGAACTAGGAACTGCAACAAGGTTTCAAACTGGAACTGTGACCTGACAGTCACTTCACCATAAAATCGAGAGACCTCTATTTCCTCTTACAGAGCAAATGTATTTATTCCTCTCAGCACTGTGGTTTACACGTTTCATACTAAAAGGCAATATGTAAAAAGGTAAAAGCAATGAAGCCTGGTTTTACTTCTGTTAATCTGTTGCTTTGGCTTAGTCTGTCCTGCTGGGCGAAGAGGTGACCCAGCTAACACAGCTCTCCCACCAGCCTTCCACAGGGGCTGCTGGACTAGAACATCAGAGTTAATGACGCTAAAGCTGTGTGTTTTCCACTTGTTAGGAAATGCTGGTTTCTACCAGAATACACAAAACCACAATACCACAGATCAGAAAAAGTCTCTGCAGAACCTTAATCCATTTGCAAATTGGAATAACTAAAACAAATCTAAAAAAAAAAAAAACCAACAAAAAAACAACCAACCAAACGTGTATTATTTAGTCCACTAAACTGCCAATAGGAAACAATTAAGTTCTGATGCCTTTGTTGCATATGCCTTTGCAAGCCACAGGTATTTACATAAGTTAGCAGCTCAACTAATCCAAACTAGCAAGTTTATTAGTCATTCGTGTTTCATGAAAGGATAATAAATTCCAGTCTGTGTGAGCAGAACTACCAGAATTAAATTCAAGAAAAAAATAAAACAAAACTAAAACCCAACAAAATACAAACATACCAAAATTGTTAAGACTACTCAGAGACGCTCTAATTACAGGTGATACATCCTCCTGAACTGCCATACTCAGCAACCTTTCTTAAGTTTTACCTGTGTGTTTCAGGTATTGGGATTTTTTAATCATCAATATAGCTCAAATACTATATAAACTTACAACGCAATCTTTGCTACGGAGAAGGAAAAAAAAAAAAAGCACAAAACACCGTATCAAAAGCCCCATGTCCACTCATCTACCCGTTGGATGACGCCACCAGCTAACCAGCAAAGCTACAAAGCCAGATTTCAACATTTATGCCAGTTTCCTCTCCAGAGCACAAGCACCGATCTCGGCAAACACACCGGTTAAACACCGGCCCCACCGCCACCCCCGAGCCGCCGTAGGCCCGAAGGCTGCGGACACACCACCCCGCTTCGCGCAGCCGCCACCGGCAGCGCCTGACGCCGCGCCCACTCCTGCCGCGCTCCGCAGCCCGCCCCGGGGCGGGAGAGGGGGCTCCAAGCGCGGGTGGCCCGTCAGGGGCCGAGGGGGGTGGAAGGAGGCGGGGAGGCCGCGCCTCTCCAGTGGGAGCGAGGGACGCGAGCCCGGCGCTGTGGGGACGGACCAGGCCGCACCGCGCGGGCCGCAGGGAACCGCGGCAAACCCGGGCCCTGCCGGCGTTACCGGGCGCCAGGCCGCATCCCGCCGCCACCCCGGCACTGCCGCACGCCCGGCGGCCCCGCGGACGGCCTCTCCCCGCCCGGCAGCGCGGAGCGGGCGCAGGTGCGAGCGGGTATAAACGGTTCTCCCGGCCTCTCCCCTCCTCACCATTGTGGTCCATGGTTCGGCGCGGGGCACTGTGGGAGCGGAAGGGCGCGGCCGGAAGCAGAAGCGCCCGTGAGACGGGCAGGGGAGCGTGGAGACGTGCGCGGTCGGCGAGCGGTCGTGGGGACGTGGTCGTTGCGCGTCTGCGGAGCGTCCATGCCGCCGCGGGACGGTGCGCGCATGGCGGAGCTCTGCTGACCGGGCTACGGGCGCAGCGGACCCCGCGATGAGGCCGGGGAGGAATGCGCGGCTGCCCCGCGGTGGCCGCCGGGAGGGAGGCGGTCGGGCCGCTTCTCTGGGGTACAGTGAGCTGCGGAGGGAGCTCGGGGGCCCACCGAGATGGTGGCTGGGCCGGGGCGAGCGCCGCCCTGCGGGGAGAAGGGCCTTGCCTGGCGGTTGTCAGGATCTGCGCTCCGGTCAGGCGCAGGCGGGTCTGCTGTGAGTCATCCTTGGGCCCTGCCTCGGCTCCGGGGGTTGCTTCCCCTCTGGAACGGGCTCCCGGTGTAATTCGGCTGGGTGGCCTTGGGCCGCGGCAGGGAGGGGTTCTATGGGAACAGGCGTGACCCTGTGTTTCTTGGGGAAGGGCAGAATTAAGAAGGGTCGTCTTTCTATTGAGGAGCCGCACCAGCGCTGCCCGCGGGCCCAGCGGGAGGGCGGTGTGGTGCGGGATGCCAAGAAAGGGGACAGATCTAAAAGCACACGGGCCCTGAATTGCTGCTGGCCAGCCTCAAGTTTTACCATGGAAACGGCATATTCCTGACAGCTGGGGCTGTAGGAACGTCAGTGACTTGACGGAGCAGTGAACATCCAGGGCATCTGAAAGCATCACAGAATCGTGATAGAATGGTGTGGGTTGAAAGGAACCTTAAAGGTTATCAAATGCCATCCCCCTGCCATGGGTAGGGATGCCTTCCACTAGACCAGGTTGCTCAAAGTCCCAGCCAGCTTGGCCAACAGCAGTAGACCTTGCTACCTCAAGAGACTATTTTGTGTTACTTCTGAAAACTTGGCAGTTTGTAAATGCTGTGTAATTCAGTGGGATACTGTCTATCACTGAAGAAAAATACAATACAATTAAAACATAGGTTACAGGGTTTGGTGACTGGCTCACTGAAGGTCTCCAGGACTGGGACCTTGTGTCCTAACAGAGGGAGTCTCTCATTATCTTTATAGCCTTAACATCTGAAAGCTGCCATTTAAGCCTATTGTTTCTTGTCTTACCCCTCAAGGCAGATAGAACAGGTTTTCTCTTTTGTCTTTGCTGTGCCTCAAAAGGCAGGCCCAAGGGAAGCTGACACTGATTCCTGCTTCCACACATCCCACCCCTCGCCAATAATACGGTTTATTTCTCCATAATAAGAATTCATAAAGAGAAGAGTCTTAAAAAAGCAAACATGCAGATGCATGGAGCATGTTTTCAGAATGTACAACTTTATTTTCTAGTTAATGGATACAATTACTATTAAAACACGGGTTTATAAAGGTAAAAAACTTAAAATACATGTCCAAATTTAATACCTGGCATGCAGGGAATGCTCAAAATGCATACCAAAGTATCACTTCTTCATTGTACTGGAACAACATGAGCACATCTAGTTTCATTACTCACAGATGTTAGTACAAAATTGTGGAGAATTTTAGCTTCACTGCAAAATCCATTATTTTGGTATCCATCATTTTGAGGGATACATAGGTAGAAAATTAAGACGCGCATACCCCCAAAGCACTGTGAAAGACATTTTAATGCCTTCTGTATGTCACATTGTACCATTCTATGTAACTGTAGGCTTTGTGTGAAATGCTGTTTTTTTGACAAATTAAGAACAAATACAACCATGCCTGGAAGAAATATGGGGGCCAAGAATAAGTGCATCGAATGGTGTTTTATCATAATTAATTCCAGCTGAAGTGTTGCATTTGGAAAGAAAACTGGAAGACAGTTATTTAATTGCTTTTTATAAATACCTGTAGGGACAAGAACTGGAGAAGGTTCAAAAAATAGTGTAAGCCCATATCTCTGTCAAGTAAGGATTTACACTCAAACTCCACAGTGCAGATGTTCTCTTAAGGAAAAAACAATTCCACTTGCATCTTTTCCATAGTGTGTGTTCGTCACAAAAATGAGCTGAAAGCTCACTTTATCAGTCCCAGGCAAAGTATTTTTACATGGAATGTACATCCACTTTAGAAAAGCAGTACAGGCTCAGAAAAACGTGTCTGGCTTTGTCCCACTGTTTCTGGCCTTGTGCGCTGGCAGCAGTAACTTATGTTCAGGTTAATTTTAGCTGGGGCCATGGCCTGGCAGGGAAGTTTTGTCACTAACGTGGGCAGAAGTGCCAACCTCCTGCATTAGGCTGATGAATGGAAAGGGAGAGAACAGGCAGTGCTAAAAGTGTGACCTGTCAAATAAGAACAGCTGAGCCTAAGCGTTAGTGTAAAGAGAAATTAATGTTTCCATCTGAGGAGGTGCACATCAGCCTGGTTTGCCACATTATCAGCTTGTGGAGGTGCCTGCAGACATGCAAATAGCATGTGTCTCTGAATACAGACCTGAATCTCGCAGGCTTAGACTGGAATATCAGTATCACCTCAATTCAATCCTGTATTGCATTTGAAATGAGAAACTTCATTGTCATGAAGGCTGAAGTTTTTATGTCAATTAGAGAATACAGATGTCAGTCTGGTGCTGTTACCTACTCTCTAAGATACTTACTGACAGAGTTTATTGGATTTTCTTTTTTTCACTGATTTTGATGGAGTTCACTTAGGTCCTTAAGGAATCATTTATGTAGTGCTTAGCTTTTCACCCGAGAGTCTTTGCTAACATTACTTGCAGCAAAAATCTTCTCTGTGCAGTGGGATATATGAAAATTTTGCTGATGTAATCAAATAAGGAGATTTAAATATGTGAACATATTGAAACCAGTCAGCCCACATTGTGAAACTTAAAAGGGATTTTATACCTGGATGTTTCTTATACTTTTCTTACTATCTGTTCCCTAACCATGCAAGGGTTTCTGCATTTAAAAAATTAATATAGTGCTAAAAAAAATAAAGGTAGCAGTCTGTTTTCCATCAAAAAGCGTTTCTTCTTTATTAAAAGTAAGAACATTGATTTCCTACATGTATTTTTTATGTAGCCCTAAAGTAAGGATTAAAGTTTTGCAAGTCAAATCCTTTTGTAAATTATTGCACTTGTGCATTATGGACCGTGAAACATAAAAGAACAGCAGCAGTTTAATGTAGACGATTAAAAGAAAAAATATGCTATATAAAAATATAACTATTAAACTAAATAAAATCCTCTATTCCATTTAAAAATAGACCCACAAACTTCTATACTCGGTCATGTTTTGACTTTCTCACTTGCACTCAGTAGCAGCCTGTTCTACAGATTCCATTAAGTACCTGGGGACTAAGGGTTTCCTTAATTTATGTCGTGATCTGCCTCTTAATGAAAGATACATAACCAAAATAATCTTCTGTGTATACTTTGTTTTAGGGATGATCATTAATAGTAGTGCAAATATTTCTATAATGGGACTAATACAGAACTAATGAACCTGTATTCAAAGGTTACTTAATCCTGTTTAAAGTTTTATAGTAGTTCAATGTTGTTTTCTGTTTTTGTGACTGTTTCATCTGTTGCCCATTTCAGCTGTCAAACAGCCTGCAGCAACTTAAGGAATTGCTCAGAAAACATTATCAAGACTTGTCAGTAGGTATGCTCACACTAATGTTCAAGAATCCAAAGCCTTGGCCAGCTAGAATTCCTGCTTTCTCATTAGGTGTGGTACAAATACAGAGCAAAAAGCTTGCCATCCAAAGATTTTGGTCCTTTCAATTCTCCTGGGCAGACCACAAAGCAGTTTTTTCATCCTGTTCACACTGATAAACACTGTAATGCACCTTCTGTCTGACTAGTCGCAAAACTGAGTACATCTTTTGTAATGGTCTTCTCATTTTTTTCATCAATACATCATATGGGAAAGTGCTTGCTGAATCAAGGTCCAAATATTTCCAGGATAATGTGAGCTAAAATTCATAGTTTTCTAGAGATCTGTATCATTCACACAAACGATCAGATTTTTCTTGAAGTGCAAAGATTGGTTTCATTGCAGAAAATGCTTATATAGTACTGGAGGATAAATACTGGGAGTTCACAGGTAGGACAATACCAGCAGCCCATCTTCATGAAGCAAGTCTGCGCATAGCCTAGTGAAATGGTTTTGAAAAGGTGGAAAGAAACAGGCCATGGTTAGTGCTGAGTACACACCACTTGGAAAATGAAATGCTTGCGTATATGCCAACTAAAAACTACCAAGTTCAATGTGGCCTCAGAGAAAGTGCAGAGAAAGTTAACTATTCTGGGGCAGGTGCTCTCTGACTTGTGTCTGCTTTGGACAGTTCAGCCAGGGAGCTGCAAGTCTGAAGGTTACTAGCTCTCACCTTCAAAATATGGCTCCAATAAAGGTGGAGGACAGAAACCTCTCAGAACACTCTTTGGCCTTGGATTGGAAGTTTTTTGCCTGGTTTCTTATTTAATGACAGTAATACGAACATGTAATGAATCCCATTAATAGAAATCAGAATTAAAGTCTCTTTGGCCTTCCATTCTCAAATGCTTCTGTTCAGAATCATGGTGTCTTTCTAGCTTTTTTAGCCCTTCATTCTTTTCTGCACTGTGACTTACAGAGGAGTGGAAAGTGCTTTTCCCCATGTTAGTGATAAAGAATAATATTTGCGTCTCTTGCAATATTCGTACCAATCAAAAGAGGAAGGGGTGAATCAGGGATACCAAGTATCCCAATCAAGTGACCAAGCCCTGATGAAGTTTGGAAGGCTTTTGCTTAGGGTCTGTTTCTCCTCTTACCAATCTACTTTCCAAGATTACATTTCCTATGGGACTTCATGCTATAGTAGAAACTACAATGCAAGGTGATGCTGAGAACATCTACTCAGTCACAACCTCCTCTTACCATCTTCCTTCCAGGAACCTCTACATCCCACACATACAGCAACCATGCTGCAGCATTTTGCTGGAGCATCACCAAGAGAAGGATCACAACATTTCTGCTGCTGGATCAGAGAGGCCAAGCACAGGGTGCTGCCCCATTTCAGATCAGGAATTAAGAATGGTGTTCTGACTAGTATCCCAGTAGCAGTATATGAGGGACAGATAGTAATCATGGAATGTTCTAAGGTATTGATGCATCACCTCAAGCTATAAAAGGGCATTTAGCTCAATCTCCCTTTTCTGAGTAAGTGGATTCTGCTATTTTATTGGCTGTTATTTTAGCAGTAAGTGCTGCTTTCTTTTCTGGCAGCAACCTGTAAATACAAAATACCCTGGTATTGCTTTAATGGTATTGTTGAATGTTGTTGCATGGTAGTTATGTTCAGTACACTGCTTTGCTGCAGCTTCCTGTAAAATGTTCAGATTGCGCAAGAAAGTGTCTGTTGTGTTAAAAAAAGGAATGAAGGGGAGAAGTTGACCATAATTTTGGACTCAGAAGCCTCAAGCCATACCAAATCTTCTTTTAGGCACCTAACTCATGCTTATCTATGTGTAAGCCTGGGTAAAGCAGTAGTCCTGAAATGACAGTGGAGATGCTTGTGCACATGTAACCTACTATATCTCAAGACTTCTTCCACTAAGTGCTGATGTTCACGTACCCAGAGAGGTTATTCATTTATGGAGATAAAAACTGTTAAGGGCTCTGTTCATCTGTCATAGTCTCACAGCATGACTCAGTGCTACAAAGGGATGAAGCCAGCAGTATTATATAAGTAATAGGCACATTCAGTTCTAAAGTGCATACCTCTTCCTGAACATCAAGTTCATCATCAGGCCGGTTTGTTTCTGTGAATTCTATGGACTGTTTAGACTCCTGCATGAGTGAAATCTTGACAGAAAGAAATTAAGAAACATGATGAGCTATGCGTTGCCTGTATCATTGAAACTGATTTATTACTGTTAAGTATCTTAAAACACAGAATGCAACTAGGAAATGCACAGAGAAGGGCAGTAGGCATGAACACTAGTGAGGAACAGCTTCCATACACACTCACACCAAGCAGAATGGGACTCTTCAGCTTTGATCAGAGGTATATGAAATTAACAGCGTGGGAAAGAGAGCAGGGAATGATTATTCATTGCAGCTAACAATACAGGAATCCAACAGGCTTAAAACAAACAGGAAATATTTGTCATATAACACATTTAAAATTACAGAACCCATCTATACAGGATAGTGTCAAGCTAAAATATGTAAAGGGATTCCAGAAGGGGTATGACAGACACATTGATAAAACTCCATCTGTGGCAAATGGCTCAAACCTCCAGCTAAGGCAGTTCTTCAGCTGCCAGTTTTCAGAAAACATAAAATGTGTCTTAGGATGAAGTGTTCTCCATATGTCCTGTTTCTCATGTTCTTTCCACTAACAAGGTCCTGAGGTTGACAGACCCTTCTTTTGATCTAGCAAAAATATTCACATACTAGAGAAGCTGTCCAATTTACTAGACTCCCACTTTTTTTTTTACTACAGCTTTATGGCTAATTTTCAGTCATGCCTTGCTATAATGGAAATTGCAAGAATGAATGACGGAAGGGAAATGTACTACTGCATACCTTTTCAAATATAGGATCCTGGTTTTCACTGTATGTCATTTGATTCCTTATATAGAGCACAGCATCATGGACAGTCAAGAAGAATATGTCTTTCCTGACAGTGTCATCAAAGAAGGCACTCCGTTCCAGTTGAGATATAAGGTTGTCTGAATAAAAGAAAGTCCTAACAGATTAATACAATTTGAAGTAATTTAAGAAATAAATGTCAAAATACATGGTTGCAGCTATCAGAAATTGAAAGTACAGCCAAATAAATCAATCATAGTTTTGTCTTGACTTTTACTTTTCATATTTCCTTTAAACCCCACCATTCTTTGTGTGCCACCACAGCCCATCATGTTTATCAGCGTCATAATCCACATTTTTATTAGAACAAATGCTCCCACAGACACATGTAGAGATCCTGTCTCATCCCTTCTCATCCTCACTTTATTCTCTGCACGAATGGTAGTAGAAATACTTGGATGTTTACCTTGATATGAAGCAAAGTACACCCTCACATCAATTCTCTCAAACTCCCGAATTATCTAAAAAAAAAGAAAAAAAAAGAAAGGAAAAAGTTTACAACAGGGACAAAGTCTGTAAGGAGAAAATACATACATGTATATATGTCTGTATAAGTACTGTACAGGCACACAAACACACACTTCATTTGTTTCTGAGTGTCTTCATTCCAAATTGTATGTTTTGCCTGTTCATGGTAAATAAGGAACTGCTATACTTTGCTTAAAGATCAGTAGTTAAGTTGCTGAAGTTTCCTATTTTTAACTGCGTAAGTGGAACTATCAATTTTACACATGCATACCATTACTGCCTATTAAGGTTCTCATTCCATTTTCATAATATGAATAATCAATGTAAGAACCATGTGGGCCTGAGCAAGCTTTATTTCCCCCCTGTATCTGTGATATGACACAATCTTTCATTGGCACATGCAAATTTGTCTGCACAGATTTTTTCCTCGTGTGATGCGCCAGATGGACCTGTTCTTGGATGAAAAAGATGCATATGGAAAGAATCATGTCTGTGGACCCCGTATCTTGTTTGTCTCAAAAGCTGGAACTGAATCGAAACTAGGCAGAAGGCTGAAGCAAGGTACACAGCATTCTTGTATTTCAGGTAGTTAAAAGGTGGGACACTGGATTCTACCCCTGGCTCCTTGGTGGCAGGTCAGTCTCTTAGAACAGTGTTTTCAGAGGTGATTGCTTATTCCATCCCCTTTTGTTCATTGATAAACTAGAGTCTTGGTAATCTAAGGTCTGGTCTATAGATAGGTTAAGCAGTCACAATTGCAAAATGAAGTTAAGTGAAAACATCCAATCTGAACTTACAAACTATCACAAAAGACTAAAGACTGAACAATCTGGTCCTACATACTTGCAACAGGACACCAAAAAATACTGGAAATACTTGGCCTTAATCTCTTCACCTCATTTACCCTTCCCTAAACTCGGAACATTATCTCCTTACATAGTGTGGTGTTTGAAGATGAATTAATGAATGTTGATGAAATGCTCTGATATTGGCCACAGAAAACCCTATAAAGAAATGAATTGTTCTTCCTTCCGTCATAATTTAAATAATATTGAATGAATAAATAAATCTTGTGGTTAAAGACCAAAAAGTGATGGTAGGATGAAATTTTTACTACCTCTGTGTTGAGTGAGCATCATCCTGTGCCCAGCTTAAAGCAGGAGGCATGTGGAAAGAAAATACATCACTAAAATATTTCATAACATATGCATACAAGGGGACCACATTTTGCAGTTTTAATTTTAGATTACTTGACTGTGCAACCTTCATATTGTTCTTTTAATGCATTTTAATTTTTTTTCCCATGTAAAATAGGCACACACCAATATTCTGCATCTTGCTGTATGAGTTTTGACGGTATTTTTCAACAACAGACTTCTAAAACCCCATAAATTAACTTCAGCTCTTGATTTACATACTAACGACTAGTTTCATTTTCATGGAACCCCAGAAAAAAAATTGCCCTTACCGTTTTTATTGATCTCACAGCCACAATATCCAAGAAGGTTACTGCTCCAAAATCAAGAATGATACTGTGGATGGGCACCTTGGGGATGTTTACTTTGACTGGGAGTTCTGAATTCCAGTCCACCTGGATCTCTACTTCTTTGGTGGGAACTTGAAGATCTTGGTTGTCTTCAGGTTCCTCATCAGTCTCAAAAGCTTCATTATTAACACCAGGCTCACTGATGATGCCATTCTAACGCACAGACAATATATGGAATATAGTATTTAACCATGGAAAAAGTTTTGGAGTTACAGGAAATACTTCCCTGGGATACCTTCCATTTCAGGAATGAACAAGATGGATATTTATGACCAGTACCCCCTGCTTCCGACCCCTGGTAATGTGGTTAGCCTATCACCACTTTATAAGGCAAGCAGCCATTCCCTGTGACTAAGCAGGTCACGTATTCACTCTTCCCCTCATTCTCAGACCATGAAGGTCCTGTGAACCAAGTAAAAAAGCCAAACAAATTTCTTCTTTTCCTTCCTACCAGCCTCAAGATTGCTGGCCACCAATGCTGAAAGGACTCCCTTTCCAGTCTTGAAGGTCCCAGGTGCCCAGCAGACCAGGTATTGATGACCCCATCGAAGAACAGGGAAGTGTAACAGTGCACAGAGGACTCTATAAAATCAAGCAGTTTCAAGTCCCAGGTGGGGAATTCAGATAGGAACTGCTGCTGGAGAGTGAAACCTGTGATACCGCAGTGGCTGCTGCTTTTAAGGAGGATATGGAAGGCTATGTCTACTGGCCAAACTGATACGTTTACCTGTGCATCAAAAGCTGGATAACAGGAGCATGTACCCATGAAAAAGACAGCATTTTTACTGCACAAAGACAATCTGAGGTGGTGAGGGGTAGAGGTAAGATCAGGGAATCTCTTGCTTCCACTCCTGTTAACACTATGACGGTCAGAGCTGCCTGGACCTGTGGGGTCTTTGGCAATAGGTGTCCTGCTCTGCTAAGTCTTCTGCAATCCTAGACTTCCTACCATAGTAAGTCACACTTTTCCATCTTTATTTTAGAGATGAGTACAGAGGAACTCATAATTAAAGCTCAAGTAATAAGCTCTAACAGTAATCATTTCAGAAATAATAGAAACTAAAACCAGCTTACCTTAGTAGCCTTTAATTTCCCCTTCTTGATTAGCTTTTGTATCTTCCTCAGTGCTTTGAGTCTCTTATTATATACCTTGACTGCATCAAATCCCACCTACAGAAAAAGTATCAGAATTATTTAACTTTACCTAGATAAAATTCTGAGGAAATCCCAAAGACATTTAAGAAGCATCCAAATCCATCACATTATCACTTACTGTGGATTTGAGGCTGCTTTTCAGTCCATCAATGTTAGCATAAAAAATTGGACTTGAGAACCTGAGAATCTTCACACCTTCTGGTTCTATAACCTGATGCCGAAGAATATAAGGTTAAGCAGCAACAACCATATTTTGGCTAATAAGAAGCAGTTCAAGTGTTTCAAAAATTCAACTACATATCTAATTCACAAAATAATGGCATATCTTTGCTGATAATTGAGGTGAGAAGCTTACAGCCCCAGCATGCGATATGAACCAACCGTCTGGATCCAGAATTCAGTCCTGAAACTTGTTCTCTTTGAGCACTCCACTTCCAAATTCAAGTTGTCCACAACATGCACAACTTTGTCTTACAGTGGCTTGTAGACTGAAGGGAGACAACTCAGCAATGACTTACATTTTTGTAGTCCTTGACCTTCTTGTAGATGTCTGTGCCAGGAATGTTTCCAAAGCCACCCCATGAAGGACTAACAGGAACAAAAAGAAAAGACAGTGAAGGTAAACATCGTGCTTAGGCATTCACAGGATTGAATGCAGTGCTGCATACAAACTGTCTTAGACTCTTGTAGTCTGCTGCCTTCTGTCAGACTAAGTCTCATTGCAAAAGTGTTTTATCTGCTTTGTGACACTGTCTTTTTCTGATTTGTAGTGTCCTTTTCAAAGACAAGGTACTATGGTCTTAGCCTACTTGCTGCACCATTTTTATGTAGAGCTGAATGAAGAACTTGTTCCATTTGTTTCCCAAACCAGAAAAATGCTTTAAAAGCAGATTAGTTTGGTTTGAATGAAAAAAACTTTTTTTTTTTTACTCTGAAAAAACTGATCCCTTTTTGTTTCAAATCAACTGAAACAAGACATTTACATTCTTTTCACCTTACAACTTTTTGTCCAGCCCTTTTCATTTTTTACTTCAGTTGATAACAAATCAAAATATTTTGCAGTCTCCATACATATTTTTAACAGCTCAAGCAAATTGTTTTGAAGTTTGTAAAGCCTCACCCTCCTTTCAATGTTAATTTCACATATCTGTGTTGAATTTGGGAATTTTGGGGGTTTTGAGGCTCTTCAAATTCCATTTTTTATAATCTACTATCATGTGGCAACTCCTGCAAGGCTTTATTTTTATGCATTTGCTGACAGTGCAACTGTCCTTTGGTATTGCTAGTAACCATACTCTCTGGACTGAAGGAAAGGAGTTATATTGCATTTTCAGAGAAAAGATCAATGAAAAGTAACATGATGGCCAAACAAGATTCTGCAAAGCCATCTTTTCTCACCATTCCACTACCAGGTGTTCTTTGAGCAGCAACACATCAGCCACAAGAACAACTTTTTCTCATATTCTCATGCTTTCTCCTCCTTTCACAGGCATACACTCAGTATTGTATAAGCAGTATAAGTGAAAAGGCTATTGGTATATGCAACATACTGTTCTAGTATTACATACTAAGAGTTACTATCATGATCAATTAATTACAGAAGCCCTTCATACATCTTTTTGTATTTGATCTGGAATATTCCTGTCCTTTCTAGAACTCAATTATGTGGGTGCATAAATAACGTATGGCTAAGTAACACCAAAGTACCCACCATGATATAGAAAAAATAATGATAAAATAATGTAGCTTCTCTTTTATCAGTGTAATTAAGTGACAGCACACAGACAGTGTTTTATTCTAAAGAACAGATTTTATCCATTTCACAATTTCTGTAAGCCCAAGCAGATTTTGTGCTACGAATCATCTTGCTTTTCAGCATATTGTCTTCCTTTTTCATGGTATAACAACAACGATTATTTCTGATCCTATGTTACTTACAACTGAACTCTCAGCACAACTGTCAGCAATCCAAACAAAAGGCCAGCAAGTAATCCCAAATCAAGTCCCAGAATGATGGATGCTACACATGTGAAAACCCAGATCACCTGGAGAGGAAGTAACAAATTTAAAGTCTCTTAATTGTAATATATAATTCCTGGCCACACTGAAGAATCACTAGACCAGACAATATGAGTAGCAGAAAAATGTAACTATGGAGATGATCATAGCACACTGGCAACTAGCTAACTTCCATACAAAAGAATTCCCAACAGTTCTCAAGGACGCAGTTACTTCAGTTAGGAGATGCAGGTAACCACTGTACTTTCTTCTTTTTAATGGTGGCGGTCTTTGTTAATCTTTCATTAGAAATGGGAAAAAATTTACTTTCCCAAGATGTAAAATACTGTAAGATGCCCCATCTGCAGACACATAGAGAGGAAAGGGAGCTCCTCAGTGCTATGAGAGAATCAAACTGTTGCAAAAAGGGGTATTTCATGTTAACAGGTTGACGGCACTCTCTAAGGTCTCCACTGAATATTCAGGCAGAACAGCTGAAGTGGGCTCCTCAGTTCCTTCCTACGTCACTGCCCAGGCAGAACACCCAGTGGACCCAATCTTTCAGAAATCTGAGTGCCTGCACTTCTCACTGCAGTCAGTGGGATCTTTTACCTATGGAGAAAACTACTAAATGATTGACTAAAACTGTTCAAATATACCTGAGACAGGTACTGTCCAATGACTGTAAAACTAAGCACAGTAAGTGCTGCATGGGGAAATTACTTTCCATGCAATCTTTTCCTGCCCTAACAGCCACACTCAAAGTCTATTCCACAGAAAACACAGTTGGATGTGAGCAAGTGTAATGGTTTGTAAGAAAATCCTGTTTATATATCCCTTATCATGCCAAATGAATCCACATTCTAGCTTGGGTTAGTCTTGCAACAACAAGAAATCATATTTTCTGAGGACTACCTGAGATTATCCAGACAAATGGGATGCTAGTGTGGTAACAACATAAATATATGTGCATGAATTAAGAAAAGGTCAGCTTTTCTGACCCATTTAAACTGTGCAAAAGATAAAAGCAGAATGGTAAAGGTGTCAACAAGCCATCTTTATTGTGATTTCCAAGCCATGTCAACACAAGAGTGCTGTAAACTATGGTAATTGCTATGAAGTAGTCATCACTGCACAGTAATACCCTGATTGGAACCCTTACTGTGAAGTATATGGAATAAAAAAGATAAGCAGAACACTATGTAAAACTCTAAACTGGGGAATTTTTAATTGATGTGAACTCTACAAAAATTCTGTGTATGTGGTAGTAAAGAGAAGTTTGGATGGTATTAAAAGGCAAAAAGAAAACCAGACAACATTCAGGAAAAAAAGTTAAAAATAGTTTACTTACAGCATCCACTTTATTCTGTCTCCACAGACGAGGAACGTCAAACACCTGCATGAACATTCCTTTCAAGTTAGCTATGACTACAGCTGCCAACACAGACTGTGAGGAAAAAATGATGAAAAAGTGTTATTCAGAAGCAGAGATGAATATTAAGATAGCACTCAACACTCTAAACCAGAGCCTTGTCTGGTATCAGTCACCATAGTTTAAACAGGGCTATTAATCCTGCCCATCAAAGTTGAGCATTTGGGTGCCCGATTGGTGCTGGTGACTGTACTGCAGAGGACAGTTACGGTACCTTTTGTAAGGGCTCTAGCAATTTTCCCAGGGCAACAATGGCAATCAAAACAATCCCAGCTGAGATTATACCAGCAACCTGCGAGGAACAGAGTGTTTATAGGAAATTAACTTATTAAGACTCTATCTTCTGTTTCTAGGATTACACAGGAAAATGCACAAGTAGTTTCACATTACATTTCTTTAGGAACAAGGAGACCTGCCAAATTGCCATTGTGCTTAGGCACACATGGGCCATCATTATACACTTCAGCTAACACAGAATTCAATTAAGCAGGTAGAATAAACAACAGCACGCAAGGTAGTAGCTCTTGGAAGGGTTGCACTGCAGAGACAAATGAAAGGAGCAGAGTCTGTGTGTCAGCCAGAAAAGGGCCTGCTGGATAACGTGTTGCTCGCCTCTTTTAAAGAATGCAAAGCTATAGTACTGTAAACCAGCATAGCTTACTCAACATGAGAAAGATAGCACATGGGCAGATGATGAATGGCAAATAGTAGGGCTGCTCAGGCCAGCACATGGGAGCTTAAATATCTCATAGGTAGCTGTGAGAGGACTTCCTCCCTCATCCTGAATTCCTACTGTGACAAATTCAGTCCCTTAACTGGGAATGAAATTCTAGGGAATTAAGCGTGAAGCATTCCTGACCCCTATGTAATTCATGCCATGTAAAACTTGATTGCCCTCATGTAAAAATTATTCATTACCAGAGCACAAGCAGCTAGCTAAGATAACTGTGGCTTTCCACGTGCCAGCAACACAATCATTTTAGGACTACTTTCAACCCAATATGAAAGCTGTGCCTTATACAAGATTAAATTTACCTGTTCACAGTACCAGTAAGAAGAGGTCATTACCTGAGTCTTTCCACCTGTACTTTCCTGGACTGCAGTCCGTGAAAGAGCAGTAGTTGCAACAAAACAAGAAAAGGCACCTGAAAAAATGTTGCTGATCCCAAAAGCAATAAATTCCTGAAAGATAATTGGATGATGCTGTAAATACAGACGCCTTAAGATAATTCTGCAATGGAGAATGACCGTATTTTGTACAGTAGTTTATAAAGTAGGTAGCACAATAATATTGAGAAGAGTATGGATTAGTAATAGCTGTTAAATGTTTACACAAATTCCTCTTGTGCCAGTGTAACCACCTTTGTTTGGGAACCAATACAATGAAGTTGATTGATAGACCCTCCCTGGCATGCACATACTCATCTTGTTATAAAGACGTTTAAAGTTTGTTTCCATCAATGTCATCAAACCTAACATTTCTAACAATTACACTGGTGTAACTGCATCAAGAAATGGGACTTCTATAAATTTAACTCCCAAGCATCATCAGCTAAACAAATAATTTTAATCAGTGCAAAAGTCTGAGTTTAGACAAGCCTTTCATTAATGCAAAGCATTGTGTTATTAGTAGAACTAATCAGGAACTTTGCAATAAAACAGTTTCACTGAAAACATCTAGGGTATTGAGCCAGAAGTTTTTCACTCTGAACATCCCAATGAACTCACGCTGAGTCCCAGGCAGTGTTCTCATAGATTTGCCCCAGGGTCACAGATGCTGGCATCTACTGATGCTGGTTGTTCTGCACAAGTGACAAGGACCCTGGGGCCTTTATGTCGTCCTGGGATCTGGGCCATTCCTCTGCTGGGAAATGAGGCATTTGGGAGCTGCCTGCAACCCCATATAATTGACAGAAACATTGTTTTCACCAAGCAAACAGAGTCACAAGAAATTTTCACTCACTGCAAATTTTTAAACATACGATTTAAGATTTGTTTTTTGCTTTCTCCCTTCTTTTCTCTGAAATGAAATTTCCTCTAAGCTTTTCATTAAGCTCCAAATACAAAAGCAGGATTTTGAAGTTATATTCTTTAACAGAAGGACCTATTCCTATGTAAACAGCTGTGCTCTGCAAGAAAATGTTGTAAGTATTGTTCTTAGTATTCTTAGATCTTAATGGTCTATGCATATATGAAGACAAAACACTGGCAGACAATAGTATTGACCTGTCCTTCAAAATTATTTCACTACCTGCTGCTATGATGTTATTTTGACTTCTCCTATTCAAGTAAACTATTTGTCCATCATTCATGTCTGCATTTAACTTTTGTTATGTGTAAAATTAATAGTAGAGTATTGAAAGGAAGGCACTTTGCTTTTGTAGACAGTAATTCTACTACTACAATATTTGATTAATATCTTAGAAGCACATCAGTGCTGGCAGAACAGCATATTCCTCAAAAGAACAGCATAAACAGCAGTTCCAGCAACACGTGTTACTCTTTCAGATTTATTAAACTGAAAGTCAATGGATTTTAGGCAACTTTAAATCAAAGTGTTACCAGATGTGAACTTTGTGAATTGTAAAGTGACCATCGTGTTCAGAAGTATATTGTGTTACATACTGCAAAAGTGTTTCCAAAATCAATTTTTATATAATCCATTAGTACTAAAATAAAAGACACATTAAACTAAGTACTCAGCTTATCTATTTATTGTAGTGAGTGCATTTTCTCATCTGTTCAAATGATAAAATTAAAAATTATCATAAATGCAGGACAAGGAAGCTTTCTGACATTTTCACTCCCACACCCACGGGCAAGTCACATAACCCCTGGTGAAGACACTGAACAACTGCGGGAATCCTCTAAGAGTTTGTGAATGCACAGCTAGTGACATTCTAGCCTTTAGAAACCAGTGATTAAAGCAATTCAGCCATTTGATGCAGACAGTTATTGAAGGATGTGGATATGCCAGTAAGCATTTACTTCTGTGAAGCTGCAGGACTTAGCTATACAGGTGAAGTACATTTATGTTGATGTAATTGGTGTCATGCTGAGAAGCATAACAGTTTATTCTGTTGGGATAAAATCATGCCCTAACTGAAAAGTTCAACTGATACAAAACCTTCACAGAGCCTAAGCCTAAATAAAGCTGTCCAGAGGAACTTCTTAACATTGCCCCTCAACCCCAGAAGCACACCTCAAAATATGCCTCACAAGTGGAAATGGAAAGCAGGTTGCTAAAGCTGGCCATGTCAACTTGACATCACCAGAAAATCCCCTATGCAGTGTTTAGCTTTAGTTACCTTTTCAGAGCTACTTGAGTCACTAAAGCAATACAAAAGGAATTAATTTCATTAAAAGCCCATACTTAAGATACAGCACATCTGGCTCATCTCTATGTGGTAAATTTCTCAGTTAATATATGGCCATTTCAGCTTTTTTTTTCCCAATAGTTGAAAGAATTTATCCTGTCAGACTTCAGCTTTAGCCTGGAAAACGTGTGTGGATAATGTTCTTTCATTTGCCTACATGAAACAGAACTTATATTCACTATGTCTATGAACTCTTTTGGTTATACATACCTGGTTTCCATCAACAGTGTAGTCATACTTGGTTGCATATACTTTCCCCACAGATACGGCAATAGCATAAGCAACAATAGCAATAGAAAAGGAGGCTGCTATCATCTGGGAAAACAGGCTGACATCTGGAGGTTCAGGAGGCAAAAATCTAGTATTTAGAAAATACATTAGTGTTATCATCTTTGATCAAATTCTGTTCTTACTAGAATTGTCAAGGAGTTTGAGGCAGAGGCATACAGGTTGCTTATAATATGAAGTGTAATGTTTCAAGTTAATAAAAAGGTGGAAACAGCCCATTGACATACAGAACACGCTTATCTAGCTCTCCCAAATCCTGATGCTATTAATCAGCAACAAAGCTCTCATTGTTCTCAGCATGACTGAGATTTGGCCTTATGATAGCAAAGTGAAAAAGTACATTTTTTAAAGCATTGAATAAAGGATGTATTGAATAGTATGATGAATTACATAAATATGTTAATGACACTTCATACTATTGTTAACATACTTCTTCAGAAGATCTCAAAAACATTTTATCTCCTACTGTGTTTCCTCAAATTTTAATTAATCAAGCCCTGAATACTAAATGGAATGTGAAGGTTACTACTGTGAAGTGCTCTGAATCTTTCAAGTGAAAGTCTCTACCAGTGCAATCCTCAATATCCTTGCTCTTATGACTACAGAAGTAGCAAGAAAGATTGGGATAATATTAGCAGCATGAATATGAACCACAATGGGAGGGATAACTTGGGTCTACAGAAACTAAATGTATGCAGAATTCCATTAGTAAAAATCCCATTTTTTTCTGGGTTTCTTTTGGGTGTTTTTTTTTTTTTTTTCACATTTTCCCATAGTCATGCATTCACTTTATGAAGCAATTAATTCTCAGATGAACTTCATGAATCTGATAGACATTCCTAAGCCCATTTTACAGATGAAGGAAAGCTAGGCAACATATTTGGGTGGCATACTTGACAGAGCCAGAAGTAAAACTCAGGAAATCTCCAGCTCTGAGTTCTAAACTCAGGTTACAGTTCTCAATTTCTCTTTTACACCTTTTCTCTTACCACTGTCATTTTTAGTCAATTAAAATATTACCTATTTCCGAGAAGACAAAGGCACTCACCCTCTTGGAATGCTCTTAACAATGCCTGCATTGTATTTTTTCTCGAAGTCAGCAGCATATGAAATACCAGTGGCTACTATTGTCTGTAATAAAATAAAACAACAGTTTCGAAACTTAAAAAGGGTTCTTGTCTTCCTGTAGCTAGCCCCATCTATTTTATCTGTTATCATGTTTTGTTACGCTCTTTTGCTTACCACAATAACTTCTATTGGTATAGGTATAGGTATCTTGTGTTTGAACCGATCGTTTATTTCTTTAACTACCATGCAGATAACAATGGTGAGGAGTCCAGCAACAAGATCTGCGATGTTGGTGGTCCCAATTTTTTCAAATGTTTCAATAAGAGTCTGAAAAATAAAAATGACAAGATAAAACTTGCCCATGTCCCCTTTAAGGATGTGAAAATACTCACTAAAAGATCCAAGATATATGGGAGTTTGGAGGAGGCCAAGTTACTTGTTTATTCAGGAGAGTAACCCTCTCCTGAAGGATAGGCTGAGGTATCCTGTGTTGACATACTGTCAAGGTGCTACAGAATCAGTGAATGGATTTAATGGTGAATTTAACTGAAAAAGTTTACATGCAAGAAAGGGGGCTTCACACAGGGGGCTTCAGCTTCCTGATTCTTAGGAAACCAATGCTAAGTAAGAAGAGTTAAGAACCACCTGTGTTTTATTACCTCTAGCCTTATTTGGAGCAAGGAAGGGAAGATCTATGTCTTCTTCAGTTTGTCCAAGGGAGCAAGGGAGGTCTTCATTACTCAAAAGACAGCTAGCAGATGCATGAGCAAAACTCTAGTTCACTGCGTACCTAGTACATACAGTCTGTGGATTACATGTTTCCTATTTCCACTGCTGACATATAGAGAATGAGTATGAATATGTGGGTCCTGCCAGGCTGTGGAGAATCCTATACTTGAGAAAAGCAGTCACTAATCCTCACCTTAGCATATATTAACCCTCTAAGCAGAGTTCAGTCCCATGCTGGAGGACTCCCACAACTGGGCTGCTATAGGCAGCTCCCTTCTGTATCCTTGCTATGCCCTTGCTTGGTCCTATTTATTGCAAGTAAGTGTACAGAGAAAACATGAAGTGATCATTACAGAAAAACTACAAATACACCTCTGTCATTCTCCTAAGCATCAGTGTAATTCTCACTTGCCCCATCTCCAAGAAAACTTAATCATTCCATGCATAGTGAAACAGCTTTAACAGAATGATCTGGTAGAAAATGGGTTAGAAATAGATTTCTTGCATCCTAGTTAGCTCCCCAAATACTGAACTGTCAGTTTAAAAGGAAGGGGAGGATTGCAGCAGCAGTACCACTACTACCATACTTTGGTGTTGAAATAAAACATCTAAGTAAGTGCTTAATCAGCTATGTTTTCTAAGCTAAAAAGAAGCCTCCCTGAAACACTGAATCAGACGCCTTTCATCGTGTGACTGAAACCACTTCTTGCTTACCATGAATCCCATTCTCACTGACCATCATTCGTGCTGCCTCCATTCACATGGGAACAGTAATTTCCTCACTTGGGGTTATGGATTCTGCTAGTGTTGGATGCTTAGTGTTGCAGTTTGTTAAACACCACTTCTGAAGCAAGTCCAAAACTGGCTGAAGCTGGTGCAGCAAGTCACTGGTTGAGCACACCAGAAATCACAATTTCTTTGCTCTACACACTTCTGCAAACACATTGATGACTTACCTGCAAGAACTCAGAAGCTTTGAGCTTTAACCTAAAAAGTCAGCATTCCACTCAGGCTTGCAGGAGCTGGAAGAACCATGTAATTCCTTTTCAAAAATACTTTCTACTAAATGTATCACCCTTCAATAAATATAAAAAATAGAGATAGAAAAACCTGCTGGATTAACAAGTCCATTACCCTGACAGGTCTGCTGTAAAGTCTGTTAGTACTTTGTCTCATCTGATTTTCCTTGTTTTGAAGGAAAAAGTTTTCATTAATTCTGAAAAGGCCAATAACATAATACTTCCCCCCACCCAAATAATCAACCATTTTTTTCCCTAAACTTTGCTTTGCTGTTTGCAGTTCTATTCATTCTATTATTGCTAATCTAGATGTCTAATGTATTTTTTTGCTGGTCTGGTTGCCTGAATGGGCACATTTTTTTCACCTAGAACAACCTCTTTCAGAAATCTGTAATTCTGATATGAAGTGTTATGGAAGATCTAAAATACCGTGAACCTGGATAGTTTCATGCTGAAGGCAGCGACAAAACTCTCAGTAATTTTTCAGGGGAAGAAAACTATTCTGTAATACGAGACCTCCAGGAATTCAGTGGTTCTGTAATCCAGCCAAGATGTTTCTCCATTCGATCATTTTCTCTAAGATCAACAAATGGAGTTGTGACAGCATTTAGCCTCACTTTAACTAACCAGTAGATACCTGGCCGCATGGTGGGAATCCACATCCTTCTTTAGGTATTCACGAGTATGGCTACAATGTAGAATAGCAAAGGATGCCCTTTACCAGAATGACCTGCTGGTTTAAGAGTAAAGAGGCTTGGGACCAATCAGGTTTGGGAGATGACCTGACAGTGTTAAGAAATGATTGAATGTCCTCCACAATAAGACAGAAATGACAGAAAGTAGTCTCCAGAAGTGTCAACCTAGAGAAGAAGAACTGTTTTGCTGTATAATTACATTTAAATTTTATGTGAAAACCTGCTCTGTCTGAAAAAACCTTCAAGATGACAATTGACTTTCTGTCTGGGAAATACCAAAAGCAGCTACTTAGAGCTGCACAGCTATAAATGAACAGTAGCAGATCTTCGTGACAGTGAGAACTAAGGAAATGCCCTATACTTACCACCATATACATGGACAGTTCCTGTACGAAATGGATGCAGAAGATAATCACATAAAAATTCTGCCATAAAACCAAAACAGATTAATAGGACATACTTACATATATTATGGAAAGGACACCGTTATAGTTTTTTGTTGAAACATTTAGGACTATTTTCAATTGTGACACAAACACTTGAAAAGCAGCTGCAGTTGTGAATCCCCCAACGAGTGGGTCTGCAAGGTATCTCACAATGAAACCAATCTGAAGGACTCCAAATATTACCTGGAAAAACCATGAAGAATAACAGCTTGCTAAACAACAAAAAGGGACACCTTTATTTGGTGACATCTTATACTTTGTTCTTTTGGTTTTGTTGATACAGAGCCTTAGGACCATATTCCCCCATTACCACCTACTGTAGCTTAATATTTTGCCATCTGAGGAAACAAAGGAGACCTGAAGAAATGTGTGAGCAGCTGCTCCAGGATAGGCACCATTAGCACTTAGTTTCATGCAGGTCCCTTGGTCTGCAGTCTGCTGCCACAGACTATGCCCAGGATAAAGAAGAGATTCAGAGCAGCCCTGTGGAGAAGGACTTGGGGGTGTTGGTTGATAAGAAAATGAACATGAGCCGGCTTCAGTGTGCGCTCACAGCCCAGAAAGCCAACCGTATCCTGGGCTGCATTAAAAGGAGCGTGACCAGCAGGTCGAAGGAGGTGATCCTGCCCCTCTACTCTGCTCTTGTGAGACCTCACCTGGAGTATTGTGTGCCGTTCTGGTGTCCTCAACATAAAAAGGACATGGAACTGTTGGAACAAGTCCAGAGGAGGGCCACGAGGATGATCAGGGGACTGGAGCACCTCCCATATGAAGACAGGCTGAGAAAGTTGAAGCTGTTCAGCCTGGAGAAGAGAAGGCTGCGTGGAGACCTCATAGCAGCCTTCCAGTATCTGAAGGGGGGACTTCAGGGATGCTGGGGAGGGACTCTTCATTAGAGACTGTAGTGATAGGACAAGGGGTAATGGGTTAAAACTGAAACAGGGGAAGTTTAGGTTGGATATAAGGAGGAAATACTTTCCTGTTAGGGTGGTGAGGCACTGGAATGGGTTGCCCAAGGAAGTTGTGAATGCTCCATCCCTGGCAGTGTTCAAGACCAGGTTGGATGAGGCCTTGGGTGAGATGGTTTAGTGTGAGGTGTCCCTGCCCATGGCAGGGGGGTTGGAACTAGATGATCTTAAGGTCCCTTCCAACCCTAACGATTCTATGATTCTATGATTCTATGATAAGAAGAATAATCCCCCAAAAGCTCGTCAGAGTTTGAGATTACTTTTCTTCATTTCTGTGTTTTACTACAGGAAAATGTCTTTCTGCCCCAGTACATATTTCCATGATGTGTTTTCCCATTAAAATTAAAGCAGTATCAACCTTGTGTCTTCAAGCCAACTATTTTACCTGTAAAATTCCAACCAGAAATGTGAGTGTACTAGCAATCAGCACTCTCTGTGCATCTCGGGATTCAGTGTCTATCAGTGTCCCAGTAACATTAGTCCCTGTAGCATTACTACTGCCTATGAGAAAATTATCATCAGGGGCCATGCTCAATACAACAGATCCCACCATCAAACTGACTACAGGGAAAGGACCTGTAATGACAAACAGAACACACTGAAGTTTAATATACAATAAAAAGAAGCATTTATCAGACTAGACAAGTAAACTCTAAATCAGAAAATCCATATAATATTTTAAATGGGGTACATCAGTAGTATTAGGGAGCCAGGAGCCACAGGCACTGCAAACATGACAGAAGGATACAATTCCTTCCTTAAATAACTTTCATTATTCATACAGGTGCAGTTTCATGCTTTGCTTAAACCAACTTCGGTCTGCACCCAGGCCAAAAGTGGCAACATGTTCCAACCATCTCCCTTGTATGAGCACCACAACCAGACAAAACAGATGGTGATCCAGCTACAAGCAACAGTTACTTAATTTTTCTTCTTTTTTGTCTTTGGGTTTTTTTTTAATCATGGTTAGTTTTCAGCTGGTCCAGATTGCCACACAGCTACATGGTCAGGAATCCAAACACCATGGTGGTGGCAGAAACATGCAGCAAGGGGTAGGACCACGTCTTTTGGCAGTAGTGTGGTATTACAATGGCTAAAGATGACTGAAACTATACTTAGGGCAAGATACAGAGAGAGTAAGTGATCACTGTGTCAGCAACACGTAATCTAAAAGTAATCATATTTGTTTTAGTTATTTACTAAAATTATACAGAAAATGTCATGAAATGTCTTAAAGAAGGAGAAATTAATTTTGCAGATACCTTAGGGGACACTTCATGAATAAGAGTATTGAAAAAAGCATAGATGAGCATTTGATAGTCTAGAAAGCAGTAATGTCAACGTAAGTGGACATGACAACTCAGACCTGGATGGAAAATGTGAGCTGGTAGGTAGGGTAGGAAGAGGCTAAGAAAGTGGAGAAAGCATACAGAAATATTGATGCAGCAGAGAAGAAAATTGATGAAAACCATAATATCATGCCAAAGCTTTGGGAGAGGAAAACAATCTATTCTTAGTGGATATGAACAAGGAAAGACTCTATTTTATTAAAATGAAGAAAAAGAAACTTCAGTGATCAAGCTGTAACATGAATTTTAAATGTGAAAACTGACAGGAAACAAACCCCATCTTTTACAGAAAGTATTCAGAAAGAATCAACAAGGTTTACCCATAGCCTTGATGTGAGGATCTAGAACGAGGCTGGAGTGGACACACAGGTTCTGGGTCTCCGCGACAGGCAAGAAGATGACATTGTCCACAGTGATCAAAAAAGGATGCAGCAAGGAAGGCTTGTAGAGAAGACTAAAAGAGCTGTTTTAGCCATCTTGAGCTTTAGCCGATAGACAAAATGTCTGTTCACACTGCCTACTGAGGCCTTGATCTTGTAATTTCTTGCAAAGAGTATAGCCAAAGACAAGATTTAAACTTCAGCATAAATGCAAGCAAAAAGCATGCAGGGGCACAACTGAAGTTAGCTATTACGCACGATTGCCTGGACAGAGAAGAAATAAGCCTTAGGTACCCCAAACACACCAATATCAATATTCAGCACAGCCAATTCAGTTCAGAAAGTAGTTTTCTTGTAGGAAATATGAATGCTCACAGTAAGGATTAACATTTTGTAATAGATAATTCACTGTAACTTGAACACATGCAGTTACCAACTGAGATGTGTCTTGATGTTCCCAGGAAAAAGTACGTCAGGATGGGAAAAAAGGCAGAATAGAGACCATATCCAACAGGAACTGCAGCCAGCAAAGCATATGCCAAACCTAAAATGACATACCATCAGAATGTCAGACTTAAAATCTCTCAACAAACTACTACCTTGTCTAGAATAGACTTTCAGAAAGGTTTACTCCTTTTGTCCAGATACAATTTAGAATGTGTTTTGTCTGTAAATCAGTTGCAGGCACATATGTGATTATCAATATGTGATGGTAAGTGATTACATATCCCACACTGGTAGTTGAATGAGTAATTACTGAAAGATGTTCCTGTACAGGTAGCTCAAAACATAGGCTCAGGTATGAAGTTTAAGTGGGTGAACAGTGTAGCAAGAGTGAATGGTCAGCCCCTAGAGAGAAAAGAGGGATATGTGAAGTGTCCTAGTTATAGACAGAAATTTCAAGCACAGACTGAATTATTGCACTACAAGTATGCTTCAGCATGTTCAGTCCTTCTGAAAATCAGGCTGCTCTTTTTTTTCTCAGTATCAGCTTATAAACTTAAATACCAAAAGTAAATCACACAAATTTGACAGTTTTGATCCTTAGCATTGTCTTCCTTTGTATACCTGTGCAAGCTGTCAAATCCAACAAACAATGAAAAAACAAGTTGCTTTCAGTATCATATCCTAGTTAGCTCCCACTGCAGAGTAGTGTTCTTTCTCAAAGATACTGCAAAAGCCATCAGAGTTCAAAACAATATAAGTCCTGGTCATGCTACTGTTACTGTTGGGATGACTACAAGCAACATACAGTTGCTGGGAGTTAGGGACTTCAGGGACCTCAAAATGCCAGAAGCCTCTTTTTTTGGCAAACACTTCGACCAATTTTCCCCATATTGCATCATTTCAAATTTCAGATTTTTTTTTTTTTGTAATACAGCTAGATTCAGATTTGTACTAATTTGTTTTTTTTTAGTTATTATTAATACATAGGTGGGAGACCAAACAGTGTATTTATTTTAGCAATCAGTTTTGGAAGTGGAATCTAATTGTGAGACAATCAGGCCCAGTGTAAAAAAAAAAACAAACCAAACCAAAAACAACAAATGAGGGGGCTACAGTAAGAGCATAACAGCTGTCACAAGCCATATGAAAAGCATATGTAGTCCAGTCCATTTTAAAAATGCAAGGGACTCCTGTAACTGGGGCACTACCTTCAGCAGAGATATTCCATGTCTGACACAGACTCTCTACAGGTCTGAACAAATCACTTTCTTATTCCTCAGGTCACCCTCTGCCTGGAAGAGAACTCTGTAAAACTTTTTTACTTTGCCAGTCTGTGCCCTCCTAGCATGCTCCAAGGGAACAGACAGTAGGGAATACTTGTGGCTAGTTGGGAATGAGTAACCTTTCTTTGTTCCCCATATGAAGCTTTGCGTCATTGTGCAAAAACCTGATTTCCATTGAGGGAAAATGTAGGGTTGACAAGCTAGCTTAACCTCCCCCAGTCCTGAAAAATGACAAAAATTGTATAAGAACACTACTGGGATGAAAGAAATGAATGTCCTGGATCACGTCAGGGTTATAGCTAGTCTTGTCTTTGACAGTGGAACTTAGCAGCTGCCCCAGACAAAATGGTTCTGCCCTTTAGGTCTTCCTTAACTAACTTATTTTATTTCTGCCACTTTTCTCTTTGTTCATCCACCAAATTCTTTCCTAATAAATAGAATAAGGAAATAAGGAAAACTTACTATTACAAGACATGTGCTGTAACTGTCCATCAAGATTATACATTTTTTTAGTGTGAATACCACCTCCTTGAGGGCTGTTTTTGCAGATACCCGAGCAACCTTAGAGGCCAGATTTTAAAGGAGAGTGGATATCAAGGTTGAGCCAAAAAGTAGATTTCTGTGGGCAGCTGCAGGAGAGCTATAGGCTGAGATAACCAAGAAAGAGAAATAATGCCACATGACCCATCTGACTTATCACAAAATAATTAAAATCTTAAATATCAAAATGAATAGTCTTTGAGTAAAAGCCTTGGAATAAAAAGTTAAACACATCTTGAGACCACATCAAAGGAAATTTAAATCTTCCAGCCAAGCAAAGAGAAAACAGGAATAAATTAAACCCATCAATTATTTATTGCAAAATAGTACCTAATATCTAGTATTAAATAACAAGTCTCAGATTTGTAATTCCACCTGCATAACACCCCTGTGTTTAGCCAGCTCCCTCATAGGGGCCGATGCGCCGCGCTTTACCTTGCAAGGTGGCAACGAGGCCGGTGCTGACCCCCGAGATGATGTCGCTGATCAGCCACTCCTTCACCCGGTAGTTGGGCAGCCACTCCAGAATGGGCAGGAAGGACTTAGCAACCTGAAAGGCCCTTTTTCTCGAACATCTGCGAGGAAACAAGCGATGAACATACCCCGCAGGGCTGCACTGGGAAGCCCCCCTACAGCCCCAAGCTGACAACGAGCTGGGGCGATGCACGTTTAAAGCGGCAATGACAGGCACGGTGGTGTCTCCCAGGCAGGGATGGGGCAGGTATCGGTGTCAGAAGCGCTGTCTGCTGGAGGAAGCTGCGTCCGCCTTGACTTGAGGGAAGCGGGGATGGGTCTACCGGCGGACTGGCCCCTTCACCGCGCGTCCCGGCACCCCCCGGCTCCCGCCCCGCGCCTGACGGACCCACCTGCAGGCGGCCTGCGCCCGCTCGCGGAGCGTCGGCGGCAGCGGCGGGTGCCGCTCGTTCTCGTCCTGGAAGCCCGCCTCGCTGTAGATGGGCCGCGCCACCACGTAGTGGCTGAGCTCCGCCAGCGGCTCCGCCGCCCGCTCGCCCGCTGCCATGGCCCCGCCTGAGGCGGAGGGCAGCTAGCGGGGCCCGCGCCGGCACCCCCTGGCGGCCCTCCCGCGCCGCCGGTTGCCCCGGCCGCCCGCCGCCCCTCAGCCCGGGGCGCGGTCCGACCCCAGGGCGCAGCGCTGTCCGCGTCCTGAACCGGCGGCTCCGACGGCGCCGCCGCGGCCACCGACTGCTCTACCTGCGCCCGCGCCTGCTCTCCGGCGTGGGGTAGGGCGAGCCGGCTCCGGTGCAGCGGCATTTATAGGGCCGGGCGCGGCCCGGCGCTTTATTTACGGGGAAACACAGAGAGACCCGGCTCCGGGCTGTCCCGGGAGACGCCTCCGTCCGCCCTCCCCTTCCAGCCCCGGCGGCCCCTCTCAAGCCCTGCCCCGGTCCGGCGCTCGCCGGAGAGACCCTCCCTGTCCCGCGGGGGCCGCCGGGCCCTTCACCCCGTCCCGTCCCTTCGGGGCGGGGGCTGCACTTGAAAGCCGCCGCCCGGGGCAGCGCAGGATGAGGGTCGTTCTCAGGGGAATTGCCCCCCGGCGCGAGGAGCGGGGCACGCCGCACGCACACGGACCCCGCCGGCGGGTGGGGGGGCTCGTCCCCCTCCACCGCGTGCCCAGCGGCCTCGGCCTGCAAAGGCGATCGGTGTTCTGACGAGCCTGAGGGACCGGGTGGGACCAGCCGCCGCACGCACCGCTTGGCCCACACGGAAGCCTTCTCCCAGTTTCCAAAGCCCTGCTGCTGCGTCCCATGATCCAAGCTTTGGGAATGCAGAGACACAAATGCCTGATAAACCGCACCTGCTCTGCGAACCGTCCCTGGGCTCACCCCGCTGCCACAGCGGGAAGGAGAAGTGCTCCGGACCCCGCGTGCTCTTGGTGTCACACCTGGAATGACAGGAGGTGGCTGGGATGAAGCTTCTAGTTTGCCCGAGGGGGGTCTGAGGGAACGAACTCTTTGGCAGCGCTGCTGTAGTTGAGGGTTAGGTATAGGGCTGGGGCTGAAAAAGTCAATCCTGCCTCCTGTGTGCTGCTGGCTACATTGCAGTTCTTCCGTGGTACATGTGGAGGAGAACCTAGCAAAGGTCTTGCAGGGGTGAAGTGAAGCATGTGTCCTTGTCACCCTGGAGACTTCTTGAAATCAAAATCAGTGCCAATGTTTCAGCTAACACCAAAGAGGTGCTGAGGGCACACACTGAGGGTACTGCATCGAGCAATGCTTCTTCAATGAACTACTCGGGTGTGGATATTCTCAACGGCCTTGGTTTCAAAGTGTCTTGGTATAGTCCTGACTTCAGGCATGTTGGAGCCAACATTGCTAAACTGTAAAGGAGCTTCTTGCTGAAACATAGTCTAGGTTTTCTAACTCTGAGCAGGCTTCCCCTGCCAGTGTCCTGTAAAAACTGGCTGAGTAAACTGCTGAAATGCTTTGATCTGAGCAGTATCCGGCAGTGAACAAGCCAGCTACCTGAACCGAGTCCTGAAGTTCTGTAGAAGCTCGTAAGCACAGCACTGGAGTGAGTAAAAGCTGAAAGCTAATGTCTAGTGCTAGGACTTTGTGTTTTAAGGGAAGTGGTCTTACGGTTACTCACTCCACAGTGGGGAGTGGGAAGGCTTTCAGATTGTTTTGCTAGCAGGTAATGCCATGGGGAAATGGAACTGATGTTGGAAGACAGAAAAGTAGCTTAATTCAGTTAGACATGTACTAAAGCACATAACAGAAAACTGAGCTGGCATTCGAACTGAATGACTGATTAAGTTAGAATCCTCTCCTGATAAAAAAAGGAGTAGCATGAATTGTAGTTTCAAAAACTATCTTGGAAAAGCTGTTGTGGTAACATCTTCTTAGGTTCTAAAATTAATGAAAAGACAGAGAAATCACTCCAGAAGGTATGATGACTTCTAGGCTAATCATTAAGGCAAAGAATAATAGCAAAAGCATTTGCAGGAACCCAACAGAGATTTACAACCTAAAAGCAATTTTCAGGACTGGATGTGTATTAGATATTATTTGCTATGAAAAAATCCCACAAAACTACAACTTTCTTATTATTCATATAACTAGGATTTTAGAAGAGAACTGGATGATATCAAAAAGAAAGAAAAGTAATACTGAACATGGAATTAACACAGGACTACAGTCAGAAGAATCTGAATTGACGGTAAATTGTGTTCCTTGCAAATTCATTTCCTGTAGCATATGTCTGCCTGAATGGAACTGCAAGGTTCAGCACCTCAGGTGATGGGATGCCACAGGTTCAGCAGCAAAGAGTGTACAGATGAGAACTGGGTAGGACCACAGCTATTGGAAAGGCAGAAATACGCCTGTTTGAAGACAAGAGGTTCCAAGACGAAAGCTCCATCTGTGTAAACACAATGTGCTTACCAGAATTTGAAAAGAAAATTACTTGGGGATGAGGAGGAAGAACGCAAAACCAAACTCAGAACAGATCCCTTATACAGAGACAGGTCTGTGTGAAATCAAAAACATTGAGTTTCTGAATTGTGATGTTGCTGACCCTACTCATGATCTCAGGATGCTATCCCACATACATCCCCTTCCCCTGAAACACTAACTCTTCACCTAGAAGGCAGGCTCTTCCTTTCCTTTTTCAGCTTTGGCTTTTTGTTGCTGTTGGTGGTCATTCTGATTTTTTTTTTTTGTTAGTTTAAAATCTGCATCAGTCTTCTAGATCCTTTTGTTCACCTTACTGTTTGCTACTATTTCCTAATGAGTTCACGTTCATTTTTTACCCAGGATGGATACACAGCCTGTTTCCAAATCCTTGCTTACAGTATCCTTGTATGCTCTGTTCCCAAGTCCTTAACTCTAATGCCTGAGTCATGTCTGGAGAAGAATCAAAGCCTAAGATTTTGTGTTTACTGGCCAAGAATAACAGTACTTCTCTTCCTTCCTTTCACATTGTCTCTTTTCTGTACCATGTTTGAAACTCAAAAAGAGTGTTTTAGCACATTCCCAGCCAACTTAGTTTCTTCTCCATAGTCACAAGAGTATGGATTTAAACCTCAAGCTAAGCAAGATGTAGAACATGGTCTCACCTTCCAGGTGAGCAGCTATTAAGCTACCTCACCAAACAAAATGATCACCAAAACTATGGCCTTTTCTGGCTGTGTTTTCAGACAGACGGGTAAACCAAATCACACTATGCAGACTGATGTCAGGCAGCAGAATAAAGGAAAGTATTTAACCTATGACCTAGTCACAGCTTAAGATGCAAGTCTTTATCACAGCTGAAATTGGTGTCCATTTTTCTGACAAGTGAGTTTTGAGAGATGCTTCCCATTTTCATTTTCCTTAGTGGGTGGCTTTGGTATCTCCTGACTTCCAATAGACTATATATGCTAGCTCTAGTATCTAACTCCCCCTAGTCACTAAACATAGTGGGTAGGCTCCCACTTGCTAAACCCAGGTGCGCCCAAGTGTGTTTGGGAATCTGAACATCCCAGACTTGGTGTATTGATTTGGTGTACTTGGTGTATTCCCAGACTGAAACTACCTCAGAAGGGTTCAGAAGGGAATCCTCCAGCATACACAGTCCTGGGCTGTAAAAATGTAGCCTGCTCCCCCTCCACTCAGCAACGCCAAAGCTGGAGGTGGTAACAGGAATTTCCTATGGAGCACAATTTATTTCACAGTGATGGGCACAAAACTCAAGGGACTCTTTTTTCCCCTCACAAACACGCCTTGCAGTACCTGTCACTATTTGCACAATACCTCAAAAATGAAACAAAAGTATTACGTTTTGTCAGAGAAAATAAAATATTCCTGAACTGGGGATGCTTAGTTCTAGAACTATGTTTTTAGATGTTATGCAATTAACTTACACAGCAATGTTCAGCACAGAGTACTGCCGAACTGGAAAGACATAATGGAGAGCTGATTTTCCAGCTTCACCGGACCTGTAAAATGACTGGTACCTGGTTTCATCAGGGCCCAGATTACAGTTGCTGCTGGGACAGGCACTGTCCAAAGCATGGCAAAATCAGGGTCTCTGTCCCAAAGAGCTTAAAAAGTAATTTCAGTGTTTCAAGGAACACCTGAGGATTGAGGCAGTCATATAATAGAAGCATCGAATGGTCTGGGTTAGAAGGGACCTGAAGTATCATCTAGTTCCAGCCTCCCTGCCATGAGCAGGGACATCTTCCACTAGAGCAGGTTGCACAATGCCGCATCCTATCTGGCCTCGGACACTGTCAGGGATTTGGAAAAACAAATGTTATTTTGATGCCGAGTAAAAACTGGAGCTTTCACCCTTTAGAACAAGCTACGAAAGCACATCCATGAAGCTATGCAGCTAGGGATACTGTGGCAGCAAATACAGGGAGTGCTAATGCAAGAAGACATTTAAAGATATGGTTGTTGCAAAAATAGAAGGAGGGAAAATATCCTGCCTAGCTAAGACTGCTTTCATCTAAGGAAACACCAAAGCATGTAGCTAGGTCTATTAATATTCAGGTCAGTTCTCATGCACCTACCATGACCTCACTGCTTTCTTGACTCAGCAGAAAAAGGAATTTATGAAAAAACATGAAAACACATCTCAATTTTTAAGCTACTATCAATTAAATCTGTGCAAATGTTTTTACAATTAATACTCTTTCCTATGCTTCCCCACCAAAGTACTGAAAATGCACATTCCTACTTTTGTAAAGAGGGGAAAAAAGCTCCAAAACCAGGCAATTACTTGGACTTTATTTAGAGTATAAAGAGCTCTAAATTCTTGCTTCTGGAGACATACCCAGAATTAAATCAACTGCCAAACAGGAAGTGATTTTTATTCCATCAGTATTAGTGGATATTTAATTCTTTTTCCCAGCTCTTTCCTACAAAACAGGCAAACCTGACCAAAATCTGGCCAAACAGCCTGAAAGCCCGGGAGTTGAAACCATGAAATTGGACCCACTCTTTCCTTGTATATCTACCGTAACTTAAACCTGATCAACCCAGGCTCCGGCAGGCTCTGAACTTAAGCATTATGAAACAATGCAAATGTAAACTATTCTAAAGGATTTGCCATCTACCCAAATACCATCTAGACCTCAGGTTTTACAAAGGAATCGTGCTCTTTCCAAGAATACAGTTCTACAAAGCAAATACTACCAAATACTTTCAACTTGAGTAACAAAACATAGCTTTCATGTGAACAAATCTGGGACTCATATGAGCCGAGTACACAGCAATGCAACTCAATCAAGTGTGTGTGACCATGTGCAAGAGACAAGTATAAAGACAATGATGGTCATATTCTACACTGTGACAGGGAAATCTGGTGATACAAATAACAAATGTGACAGAAGAGATGACTGGAGGCAAAGCAGAAAGTCTGTGGGTAATTTTTAGTTAAGGAAATACTCTCTGTGGACTGGCATGCAGGGCTTTTGGGTTTAAGCTTTGTCTTTCACTCTCTCAACAAGCAGATCTCCCCACCTTCCAAGCAGCCAGCAGGAAACCGCTAGGCTGAGATGACTGATCCAGTTACAGAGGGCAGTGTCCGAGTACCACATGCTGAAGGCATGTTGCACATTTAAAAATATCAGGAATCATTTCAGCTCCTAGGGAGCAGTACATACCACCGCATACTCCTTCCCACTTCCGTCATGCTCTAGAGCAAAAAGGACTGTAAAGCATTTGGACTTCCTTCTCAAGAAGTATTGATTCTACCATTGCATTCACATTACCTGTTGTTTTGTTCCACGGTATTTTTTCTAAGATAAATTTTTAGGGATGAATAGTGAGTGCATGATGTCTTTCATTGTACATAGCTAATTATCTACCTAATTATTTACTTCTATTATAGGAAGAAATGCTTGGAATTTAACAACCAAACACCAGTAAATAAGTAATTTTGCTTTTGTTCTGTGCCTTAAAGTAAGAAGAAACAGGCAAGTTGAGTTCTGTTTCTAAAGCCAGCACTTACTGCTATACCTCTAAGGCTTCCAAACATAGTCTTGAGATCAGACTGGAGAGAACACTCCCATAAGTTTTAATATTTCAGAAAAAGGCTGGGGAGGGGAAAAAGGAATGCATTCAACTACATCACCAAGAGCTGTGCATATGCAGGCTTAAATATGGCTATGAATGTTTTGATCTGACTAAACAAATCTCCAGTGTTGTGGAATCTCCAAGAACACATTCTGTACTACTTCACCAAGGCTGAAGTATTTTTTTAACAAACATATGCATTCTTATTTAATATGCAGTGCTAGTATGATTTAAAGTACTTGACAGTCCACATTTAAATTCTAAACTAAACAAATCCTATTTCCAAAGCAATCAAAACTACCCTCATGAAGAAGGCTGGACTTCAGGAAAAGTTAATTATCACCAGGTTAGAAGTGTATTTCTTTCTTTGTGCATACACTTATTAGATCTGATGACATAGGATATTAAGAGATTTATATGAATAAACCCAGAAACTCATGAACTTAAACAACACTTTTAATACAACATATCCAACTTTCAAATAAAAACTGAAACAAACTGACAAAAAAGAAACTCAAACCAATTTGCTGAATGCCAGGAAGGGCTTATGCAAAACAGTGCACATTTATTTGAGGTATCATATCCATGAAAATAAAACAAACCCAACTATCTACACTTAAAAAGAATTTTTACTTAGCAAGGCAAAAGAAGTTAGGTGGCACATACAACGTAAACAGATGTAAACAGTGTAAAACTACAGAATGATAATACCAACCAACCCAAAATTTTCATCATGAAAATTGAAACAACATGATATATTGAAGAACAATAAACCAGAGGCATGCAAAAATATCATTTGTTAAAATACACTCATCCACATGGCTAAGTGAAAGTCACAAGCCAGTGAGATAGATGGAAAACTACATTTCTAAATCCTTCCTTATTTTCCTTAGACTGATTGTCATTCAATTTTACACTCAAGTGGAACAGCTGATGAAAAGCTTTCAGCCTTCTTCAGTCCACTGGTAACTGATTTTCTGAGGACTCCAAACAGGTGTTGCAAAGGAGGTTTACGTAAGTGTGTCTATGATAATAGTGCGACATACAACCTTGCTCAAATGCTACAAGCAAATGGTGCAGGATCTGTTAACATTGTGTAAGGCAAAAAACTTGGAGAACAGTCAAGTTGCTCCCAATGGAATTGAAAGATTTTTGAGTTTCTCCTCACAAGAGCAGTGAGGTATGGTAAATTGGGTAAGCCACTTAACCTTTTATTTGCAACACAGAATATTTTGGCAATCAGGATATATTAGAGGAATTGGAATAGTGACCTGCAGTGCATGTGCTTTCCCGAAAAATCATGTTTTGTTTCAGGAAAACATTGGAAGCCTGAACAGCACAAGGCTCTTCTCATTGAAGCAACTGTACTGATGCCATCTGTCTTGAATACACCTACAGGTCTTTCTTGTCTTCCTCTTTATTTAAACTGTCCTGAAAAGAAACAGATTAGAATAATGTTTTATGCTTGGCAAAATCAGAATCCATTGACTCCAGATGACACATTTTGCCCCCTTGCAGTCACATGGGGTTTTTTCACTACACACCCTTCAAAGATGTAGTCCCATTAACACCACCCCACATAACACATGTGCTTCTGGTCCTGGTACAATAAGCAGCCTACTTCTGCTTCCTGTTCACGTTACAGCTGAACCGTGCAACAAACTCGGCAGAAAACATTTTCTGCTATCAACTGATTTATCTTCAGGAGTTGCATCTACTGTATGCTCAGTACCTTCTGTTCTTTCCATCAGAGGTAAACACAGAAAGCTGTAAGGATGTGTGTTCTAGACCACAAGACTGTTAGAAATGCAGCAGGACTACTGTGGCTCATTACACAGGGAAGCACAACACAGACAGGACATGCATGGTGGTCTTAATTCAAACACAGAGGTCAGTTGAGCAATCTCTGTGAGAGCATAGAGTGCGGCTGGGAATCAGTAAGCAGCTTCATGGAGTACAGGAAAGAGATAACCAGCTCAAATTTGCCTTTTAAATTATACAGGACCAACCAACCACTCTTCTTGAAAGCAGGTCATCATAATTTTAACATTAATCATTTCTTTTCTCCCAAGATCATTACTTGTAAACAGGCTAACTTTCAGTGTTATTGAATTTCGGTTGAATTTTGAGATAGATGTTAGGTATGGAACATTCAAACACTGGTCAGACAACCAGTACATAATTACTTTACATATTATGGGTATTAAAGCCATGCACATATGCAAAGCTAATCAAACTGCTAATTCAGTTTTTTGCTTGCTACGTTGAGGGTCTTTTTTTGTGTGTTTTGTACTTAAGTTGGAATTTTTATCATAGCCTATTTTTAGCCTAGGCTGGTTTTTTATTTTTCTCCTCCCCCCCCAATCAAAAGTTCTGCAAGATTTATAATCCAGTGTTGCAAAAGCATGTTTAAAGAGCAAACAAAATAAATTATAAATGATGTATATACCATACACACATCCTATTGTTATCTTACAAGGTTTCAGTATGATCATCACATGCAAAACTATCTGAATGTTACTTCATGAGTGACAGCAAAATAGTCTAATGACGACTTGAACTTTATCACCTAAAGTGGAAAAAAGAAAGTACTAATAGCTTTGCCATCCAGTCCTTGAAAAACAAAATTCTACCACTTTACTGAAGTTTTAAGGAGTTTAAGTTACCTGCCCATTGTAACTTTATGCTGTACTAAAGATTTTTGTAGATTCCCCTGCATAACACCCCCAAGAAGCAGAATTTTGCTGGTACTATTTCAGAACATTGTGCTCATATAGTGATCCAGAACCACCTACCTGAAGCTGTTCATATTCTTTCATCAGATTATCATATTCTCTTTTAAGGCCTTCAGACTGCTTTTTAACTGCAGCCACTTCAGTATTTGCCTTGTGGAGAGCTGTAAAATACAGGAATTAGTGGTTTAATTATTACTTGTACTCCTCCAGTTCCTCAGAGCCCTAGTTATTAGGGCTCCGTTGCACTTGACAGTCCTTCCTCTAAAAATCCTTAAATTTTAAACAAAGCATCACATATGGACACAGCAAGAGATGTATGGGACAGGGAGGGGAAAAAAAAAATTACTTGTGTTCAGAAATAGTCACACAAGGAATAGAAGGGGCTGTAAGAAAGGTAAGGGCAAGACCAATAAACTGCTGACAAAGGTGACAAGTTAGTGATGACTACAGTGTTCTGTCACATTGCAGAAGACAGTTTTAGAAAAGCAAAACCCTACAACTACAAAACTAAACTGTCAGCCCTCTTAAAACAATGAGGGAACTCAAAACACTGGGCAAGATTTTAGCAAAGCAGCTGTCTAACATCAGGAGGAGGGGGCGGAAAAGAGAGAATACATAACTATAGGAGCACATGCCCCTCTTTTTCACTGTTATATATTTTACTGTTTATGAGTTAATTCATTAGAAGCTTCACTTTACAGAAGAGAAGGCAGAAATGATGGTGTAGGACAGACAACTGCGAACAGGTTTTTAACATAAGAAAAATTCTTACTGTATTCACAATCTCAACAGCAATAAATGAGAGCATGTCTATACTGCAGCACAAAACAGCCTAGGACTCTACAGAGGCTAATTTACAATGCAGAGTAAATCATCACAGTTTCATAAAGCCGTTACTCCTAAGCTGTAATGTAAGCATTTAAGTAAGGTCATTTAGGCATTTTTATATTCCTCTGCTATAGGTATCTTGGGTTTCTTTATATTTCCCTGTTGTAGCAGCACAGGCATATCCTAAAACTTGATTTATTCATGCTAAAACAGAGAAAAGTTAATGACCCATAAGGCTGCTTCACAAAGCCATATTTAAAAAATAAATCTTTATGGTACAAATAAAAGAGCAACATCTGCAATTTCCCTTGTTCCAAAAATGTGGATCTATCCTTTGACTGTGAGCTCTCTGAGATACATTGTTCTTTCTCAAAGACCTCCAAGACACTCAAGAATTGCAGCTCTGCAAGATCCTGTTCTCAAACGATAAGCTAGATATGTTTTCTGTTAAGCACCTAGCTACAAGCACTCTGGTCTGAACCACATTTCTCTTTGAGTGCTAGTCCCTCTAACAGCAGGACACAAGAGATTTGACTGCTCTCCTATATGCAAAAAGGAAGACTCCCTGTCCCAACATTTCTGCTATTTTTAATTAATTTGAATGTATAGATTCTCACTTTAAAAGTATGCAAGTCATAGGACTTTACTTATTCCGGTAATAGGATCTTAACCTAGCCTGAAATTCTGGTCTACTGAAGTTAATGACACTTATGTCTATTTATTTCAACATGGTCAAACACATTCCCATCTCTTTACATCCTGTATTTCACAACCATACTCTTACACAGATATCCACCCTTTAAAGAAAAAGCATCCTTGACAACATCAATACAAAAAACATCTTCTAAAAGTTTTGGTATTTGGAACAACCATGATTTGCACACATCTGACAAGTCAAACCCCACTGCATTTACTCTGATCTTGCTAATGTTTAAAATACTCCACAGTAAAATTTGGAAATCACTCTAAAATTAACCTGTGACAATTTCATAAGCTTCTGAATTTTAAGCTGCAGACAAAAACCAAAAGCATATGCCATTTTGCTTCTTCAAGAATCTGCTAATTAGAAAGCTACATTTTGCCCTGTTTAAACATTCCTGTACATAGTTAGAGTAAAAATTATCAATATCTCAGTTCTGAATGAGTTGTAACTTTGTTATTGATTTAATACTATTTAGCTGTTTGCAAGCAGCAGCACTGTAGTTACAACTAAAAGCCACCGTATCTTTAAAACATGAACAAAATATCTAAAGTATCTGCAGATGAAGAAAGCAAACAAGCCACGGTATTGTTTCAATGTTTTGACCAAAACAGATGTATGACAGGAATACCTCACCTAACCCTAGATGAAGAAAAAGTAAAGAACAGATTGTCCTTTCCACCTGTGTTGGCTATGGACAAAAAACCCCACCAAACCAAGACTCATTCCTGTTGCGGCTGCACAATAAAAAAGAGCATTGCGTCTTTCACATGAATTCCCCAGTGCACCAAATTCTCTGGATGTCTTCTTGTCAACCAACAGAGACCCTCCATACATCACTGCTCAGCTATTTTGCCACTGCATGAACACTGCAGTGCAAACCAATCGATCATACAGGTATATTGTCGGTCATATGGATCTTATCACAGCATATGAACACTGACCCAGCAGCAAACAGAAGATCCTTTGTGTGCACAATACAGTCAGTTATTATTTCTGGCTTCCATCCGGCCTGTTACTTTGTCTCATAGGAGGCAGAACAGCTGGACCGTCAGCAAGTAAAACCCAATAGCTGACTGCTCCCAGCAAGCAGATGCAGGAGAAGGCAAGAGGCGAGAATGCTGCTTCCATGTGAATGCAACGAGAGGAACAGTCAGTAAGCCCTACAACTGGAACCCAGTCTCAGTACTGTGAGAGGTGGGCTATCCTTTTTAATTTCTTTCCCTTCCTTTCAAAGAAAAAAAAAAATCTACAAAATATCCTTAGGGCAGTATATAAACAGAAGGTATTTATAGAAAACTACCCCTTAAAACAGTTAATGTGTGACTGAAGGTCCATAAACTAAAATAACATGTACAGCCTGGGAGAAATAGAAAACTTGTCCTTCCCTTACCACATTCTCTGTATCCTGTTCCAGGATAGATAGCTTACTTCAGATTCCTCTAAAGTCGAAGCAGGATGAGAAATAAAACTGCTCTGAAGTTACTACAGCCAAGTAGCTGTAGCATTTCTATTATCTTCTCAATTTAACAAGAATGGAGAACCAAAGAGTAAAACAAAACTGAACAGCAAGAAAAGCAACCAATGATTCTTTGGGCATTTCCCAGCACAACCACTAGTCCTGGTCTGACTAAATCACTTGACTTACAGTGCCTGCTACTAAGGAAACGATCTGGAACTTAAATTAGCATTGCTCACAATACAAGTCTAAACCCCAAATTATTTGGACTAGTTTAAGACTAAGAAAGATCTCTCTCTTTCAGGAGTTTTAAAGTTGAGAAAGAGCTATTCACATTTAAGAATTTAGGCACTGACAGGACAACGAGATTTGCCAACAAATACTCTGTAAAGCTGGGAACACAACTCCAGTCAAATAATTCCATGCTAATTCTGAATTCTCTGAAGATGTAATGGTCAGATAAAGTTTGAAAAGAGAAGGCAGGGCCAAAAAATTATACACAAATTTGCTCTGAATACCTTTCACAACCTCAAATGAAATGGTGTTACAGAAGAGATGGTCCAGCATTTTCAGACGACGTAAGTGCACTTGCATAAAAATCCATCCTTGCTGTATGCAGTGCCATTCCTTTGAATCAACAAATATGACTATCAGCTCCAGCTGGATGTGACACTGTGCAATGGCTCCCACTATGATTAAGTAAGATGGACTATGGACTTTGTCTCCAACCCTCCCTCTGACATTGGCTAAATAACGTGAGACTGCAGCCAATTCTTTCAACTTGTATCGCTTATCCCCAGCTTACAAAAGCAAGCTGATAGCTGTTTTTTTTTTTGATAATTTTTTGTTTTTAAAAGCTAGAGTGCTTCAGTGGAGCTCTACACAAATACAGCTTCCCTACATGGCACTAGCCTGCCTGGCAACACAAAGGCCAAGCTGAACTCGCTCTGGTAGCAACAGTTCTATGAAAAGTATTCCCAGTGTCTGCACTGTTTAGCATCTAACACCTACTAATATTAGCATTTAAGTGAGAGTTGTACATCTGCATATGCATGCTTTCTAGAACAGGCAACAATTAAAAGCTATTTCAAAACCAGCCCTCCAGATGAAGTGTTGCTCTCATACTGTCTCCTACAACACTACGCAACCATGAAACAAAGAGCACTTGTGACACTTTCTATCCACAAAACAAACCTCATTAAAGAATGTGTGGGAGTTCCATCAGAATTTCCTCCTGCCCCACTACACGTTTATAACAACAATATATAAATAGAAAGTATTTTATGAGAAAGTTGAACTGAAGTTCAAAAGCACCTAAACGGCTTTGAGTGAATCACTCCACATTTCACAAAGTGAGATCCTAATGGTAGAGACGAAGAAACAGTCTTTGGATTTTGTCTCGGTGTGGCACTACAGACTCGCTCAAAGATGCAAGAAGGTTCCAGCTCAATAATTGCACACAGGTGCTAGGGACCACAATGGCCATTATGCTACATCAGATGCAGGTAGAAGCTTTAGGCACATGTCATCTGCTACGCAATACTGTTAGAAGAGTGAGGGGTCAGGGAGCTGACAGGAATGTGTGACCAGTGTGTTCTGCTGCATAACTTAATACTAGCTGTTCATATAAAAGTCTGTTGAGTAAATAAAGCTGTAACCTTTACCATACACTAAGACAGTGTTACCAAAAAATGGCCTGAGATAGAAGGTGAAATCGTACAGCACTGCAGAAGTCTCCCTCCTGCCCAAAGGGTACCATAACAAACTGACATTTCACACTTCAGCATTTCCACAGTGTGGGATCTATGAGCAAGAAAAGGAAGTTAATGCACCAGAAGTCCCACTCCTGTCCCCAACCTAAGCACTTCTGTGAGAACAGCTGCGTTATGAAACTTCCCTCAGACTCTGACCTCATGCCCAGTTGCAGATAGTTTGTTTCATTGTAGCTTTTTGCATAATTTTCAAAACTATCAAAATGAAACAGTATCATAGCATCTCCTTTCCCCAGAAAATCCCTTTAGGTCTGAGACCAGCAGCCAAACTGGGAGCCTTTAATTATGTGAATCAAATATGTCTAACCGTGTAGCAGGAGAAACATTCTCACATCTGCACTGGGTTCTCTCACGAGTATGTAATAAATATTTACAGGTATCAATGAGATGTTTTTCTTAACATACAAGTGTATCAATAAAATACCATCTCAGAAGATTTCTGAACAGTCATGTTATTACATGTCCAGGTATGCTAAAAATGGATTTAGGCTCTGAGAGTGCTAGCCCCACTGCTGGGTGCCTAAAAACCCCCCAAGTGTGTGGGACTGCAATAAAGTAGTGAAGAACCAGCCCTCTTTCCTTCACTTCAACAATAAAGCAAAAAAGGGCATCAAGCGGGATAGGAAAGTCAAGTCTGAAAACAAATTCCGCAGAAATCTTTGTCCCTCATTTCCAACCTTTTCTCAGATTTTTGTAATTTCACTACTCAGTCTTTTGTCCTGTATTTTCATTCTTCTTCCTATTTGTCCAGAGCATACTGGATGGCAAAATGTCATCTTAAATTTGGGCTTCATGGTTAAGTAGACCAAAAAAAAAAAAAAAAAAGAAAAAAAGAAATCAGGTAAACTGTGTTTCCTGGAAAGGTAGAAAGCTGAAAAACTAGAGTTGAGTCTCCTGAAAGTCTGCAATAATCACTGTCTACACTGCGATTTCAGAAAAAGGACACATACAGTATTTTCTCTGTTAGAAGTTGTAAATATTTCAGTTCTTACAGAAAAACTGGATCTCCCCTGAAGCCACAGCACTTATCTGACACTAAACTGAGGTTTTTTAAATATGAAGCAGACTTACAGTTAGGAGGCAGACTTACATTTCAGCTCCTAGGTGCCACTGTTGAGTTAAGCCACCTTTCAACATGTGGGGTGATAGGTGATCTATTACTTTATACTACTATATATACTACTTTATACTACTATAAAGTAATAGATCACCTATCACCCCACATAAGTAGCACAACAAATGTGCCAGACCAGCAATGCATATTTGAATTAAAACTGTTCTGTGAAAAACATTATACTTGTTTTTCATCCAAGAAAACAAAAAAACAAACAAAAAAACAAAACTCAAAACCCCCAAAAACCAAAACCCCAAGCCCCAAACAAACAACAACAAAATCTGAACTTACAACTCTTACTGGTACTGTAGCTGGAAAAAAAGACACCCCCCCAAAACCCAAACCAGTAAAGTCTTCCCTTTCACACTAGTTTTGCCTCGTTTCATGACAAAAGGTTACACTCCCTACACTCTTCATTCCCTTTCCTCTCAAAATATAACCCCAAAATTTCATGGACTGGACTTTGTGGACACAAAGGTTCCTTTAGTTATGCGAGCTCAGCAGCATGAAGCCACTTGTTAAAAAGAGGTAAAACAAGCTTTTCAATCTCAACCTTGATTTTGTGCAATACATTACTAACACTTAGCGCGCGTGAAACTCAACATTCACATGTTTGGCTGCAGAAGTTTAATAAAAACAACTGTAAATTTGATTCACATTAAATCTCTAACACTCCTCAGAAAACTGTGTCTATACACATTGTCATTACCAAGATAGACATACCTTAACACCATCTAGCTGACTATGGCAATCAATGTAACCATGTTTTTTTCTGTTTTGGCAATGAGGGGGATGGCTTCAGAGAAAGGGTTGTAAATATTTTCCTATTCATTCCTCTCCCCCTTAACAAAAGACCCAAGCATGCCTTAATTTATACATCTTTAGGATGGACAACAGCCCACAGGAAAAATGCAGCTGTAGCAGCATGTGGTAAATCTATTTATTCCTTAGCTTTCTCTAGCATTCCTGACTGAAAAGCTTACATTATATTAGTGTTACATACCACCAGTTAGTTTAAATAAAACATATGCATTTAAGTTTTTCATTGATCCTGTCACTTCAAAGGCAGTCTTCCCCCTCTTTCTTTAAGAAAACAGCAGGAAGGGGAAAACTCACAATCAAACCTGCCTGAGAATGTGAACTAATGAGACTCTATTTAAAAGATTCTTGTTGCTTCAATCCCAGCTGAAAATAGCTATTCTACAGTTCTTGCTTGTCTTTGCAGTGGACACTGAAAAATGATTTGTGAAATATTTGTTGTTATTCTTACAGCTTTGTAGCACTGCCATGAAATATGAAAGCAGGACTGTGTTTTGATGATAACATGCTATCTGGTACCATGAAAATCTGTATTTTGTTATAGTCTGAACATCTGATTAATGCTTACAAGGTCACTGGCAGTGTTATCTTACAAACACTGATTTCAGATGAGCAGGTGTTGTAAGTATCACAGACCTTGACAGATCCCAATAAAACAGAACCAAACAGGTAAAATCTGCTTCTATCTCAGTCTGGGTTGCCTAGAAAGCAGTTTTGACAACCTAAACCTTAAACACGGAAGCTGCTAACAAAAGTATTATGTTACAAATTCCGATGCATGTTTCCTCATAGACAAAAAAAAAAAAGAAAAAGGGTGGATGTGTTAAAAAAGAAGCAGCTAACACCTCTAACACCTCTGCTGGAGATATATTGATTTGGAATACTACTCAAGGATTTTACTTTTACCTGACTGAAATCCCACTTTATAGAAAAAAACCTCACCCACATTTTATACAGGGAGAGTAGCTTATGTGTGAAAGATCAAGCTGATGCCTATTATATTTAACCATGCCAAGCGCAAGTTCCTATGCCTGGATCGGAGGCACAGCTACAGGCTAGGCAGAGAAGAGATTCAGACCAGCCCTGTGGAAAAGGACTTGGGGATGTTGGTCAATGAGAAAATGAACATGAGCCAGCAGTGTGTGCTTGCAGCCCAGAAAGCTAACTGTGTCTTGGGCTGCATCAAAAGGAGTGTGAGCAGCAGGTCAAAGGAGGTGATCCTGCCCCTCTACTCTGCTCTCATGAGACCTCACTTGGAGTATTGTGTGCAGTTCTGGTGTCCTCAGCATAAAAAAGACATGGAACTGTTGGAACAAGTCCAGAGGAGGACTGTGAGGATGATCAGGGGATTGGAGCACCGCCCGTATGAAGATGGGCTGAGAAAGCTGGAGCTGTTCAGCCTGGAGAAGAGAAGGCTGTGTGGAGACCTCATAGCAGCCTTCCAGTATCTGAAGGGGGGCTACAAGGATGCTGGGAAAGGACTCTTCATTAGGGACTGTAGTGATAGGACAAGGGGTAATGGGTTAAAACTTAAACAGGGAAAGTTTAGACTGGATATAAGGAAGTTCTTTCCTGTTAGGTTGGTGAGGCACTGGAATGGGCTGCCCCAGGAAGTTGTGAATGCTCCACCCCTGGCAGTGTTCAAGGCCAGGTTGGACAGAGCCTTGGGTGACATGGTTTAGTGTGAGGTGCCCCTGCCCATGGTAGGGGGGTTGGAACTAGATGATCTTAAGGTCCTTTCCAACCCTACCTATTCTATGATTCTATGAATTGCAACCTGCAATTGATTCCATATCCTGGTCATGTCACTGATGAAGACAAGTCAACACCATTTAAATATATCAGTTCAATTTGTTAATAATTACTATTTAACCAAGGTGTTCAAATTACAGTGTACACATTTTCAGAATGAAAACATTTACTAAAATACAGGGATGGCAATTGTGTGTTTTTCCAGTTCCCACTCAAATGTGAAGAAACCTCAAGTGCTCTGTAAACTGATGGAGTTAATTAATACTATACCTGGAAAAATTTTTGACATCCAGTGTTAAAATCAGCTTTTTCTTAATTGCAAAGAAATCCTAACCAATACTTACCATTTGATGTCTTCTGTAACTCTGCTTTCAGAAGTTCAACTTCCTTCCTCAACTTTTCATTAGTTGCCTCTGTTAACTCTTTCTTTGCACCATTTCCTTTTTCACTCAAGCCCTATTAAGAACAACAATTGCTATAGTTAATTTCGCTTTCATTAGTCTGACATTAATGCCAAAAAAAACAGAGAACATCCACCTTGATCTTGCAAAGTGACAGGTTCTATCAAATGCCAACATGACACAGGCAGGTACTCAGTCATTGGAGACTGGGGGAGGATGGAGGGGAAGAATGCTCAATGCTTTAAGTTGATACTAATGGCATACTTGTAGTAGTATGGCATTATCTCCTCTCTAAGAGTTAAACCATGTCAGAGTACTTTGTATCTCTGCACCAAGCCCACAACTTCTGTTCAGGTTATAAATGGCTTTTTCAGAAAACATACACTTGGACTGCAAGTGACAGAACACTGCCGTGTTTACCTGCAATTTGCTCTAACAGTTTATTTTGATTTAAATCATGTAATACCTCACAAATCCGCCCTCATAGGTTTGCAGCGACTTCTTCAATCTTCAGAATGCCTCAATTCACCAAAATTCAAAAAAACCTCAAACAAACAAACAAAAAAAACAAACAAAAAAAACAAACCCCCCAGAAACACCCCAAACCCCAAAATGAACTAGTGAAGGACTCAGGAAGAGCCCTATAAGAACTAGGCACAACAGCAGTATACTTCCTGTACTCTGAAAATGTTGGCTCTACTATACTTACATATGCTTTTATCATTAAGGCAATTACTACTGATGACTTATATGCTAAGAATTAGACCCCATAATTAGACACTTTGCTCATATAGCTTCCTCTATTACCCAACCAAGCATCATCTGTTACAAAAAATAGCAAAAGAAGTTGTAAATGCTTAACAGGAAAAAGAAAAGTAGAACTGAGATGAACAGCTGTTTGTTAGCTGATGATATCAGAGGTTACTAGGTACAGGTGGGAGCAGAAAGGGAAAGATTAGGAGGAAGGAAAAGAAATGTTTACAAAGACTGGTAAACAATCCAAAGAAAAAGCTTAAGAAAAATTTCCAGAAGCTATTTAACTAAAGAGCAGAGATTGCATTTGACTGTTGGTAACAAAAGCATAGTCAATTTGTAATGAGATTAGCCTTAATGTAATGAAATCAGCCTTAATTGTAATGAAATTTGCGTTATTTACTTTGTGACCACCTTTTCCCTATTAATACACTCATAGTTATTTCTAAAAACATTTATCTTAAGTTCTGTTCTCTATGGAATCTCTGAACAGGAGACAGTGCATGCATAGCACACTAAACTTACAGTATTTATACTTACATCCAGTACCCTATATGCAATTGCTCTTGCCTCTTTGGTGCTGGAATGAAATGCTTGCAAATGAACAGAAATGCAGAGGCCAAGCCACAAAGGAACCTAAGTCATAGTATCTCTATAAAGTTAAAATAAACCAATTCTGAACACTTTGCAACTCCAGTGCAATAGAGAGCTGCAACAGCTACCACTGTTTTTGCAAACCATGCAATCAAACACACAAATAGAAACAGACAGGAATACAGTTTCCAGTTTCTGGCTATCACTTACAAGCAGCTAAAGAGAATGTGTTGCTAAGAGAATGTGAGAGCAGAACAAAAAGAGGACCTTTGGACAAATCCCAACAGCGGGGAGGGTGAAGTACCAGTATGCAGAAAAGAGATAAATTCCATGGCTGAGGGAGGGAGTCTGAATCATTTTGATAAAATACCAAATCCCCAAATTTTGTAATCATTTCATACTTGGGAAATAGCTAACACACACTCTTGCAATCCTTGTTTTACAGCACCTCTCAACTGGATTTTCTTTTTGCATCCCTTCTAGTGCTTTTTGTCCAGAATCTGTTCTCTTTTTCTGAAGATTTATTACAGTGCTGGTAACCATAAACACTGCTCCAGACAAACAAGAAGGAAACCTGTACACACCTGCAGTGAATTTTGTTTTAACAATGTACTAGACTGAAGATTGCTGTAAAAGTCATCATAACCTGGGTATCTGCAACCTAGCTTATGGTTCAGTCTGTTCCAACAGAAGTCAAACTAACCAGTTTCAAGAGATTTCACACATTTATTATCTTTGCTGACTTCCCTTCCTGCGCAAAACCACAACAGACAAATGGTAATTTTCTTTACTGTTCTCATAAAAATAACGTATCTTTGGTTCACTGGTAGTTCTTTGAAGTCAGGAATTGTTGGTAACTTCCTGATTAATACTACTTCAGTGCCTTACTGAGAAAGGAAGGCATCAGGAAATTGGCTGACCCACCCTAAGAACAGTTGCAAGAATCCAAACCACAGTAAATACAAAAAGACCAATTTTACAAGTTGGAAAAGACATCTCAGGACTGGAACAAAAAATCGTATTTAGAAGCAGCAGCCAGCAGAAGAACAGCTATATTGTAGGCTTTTCTGTACAGGACTGCTATAGCCCTGACCTAGACAGCCAACTGTTGAGAATAAAATGAACAAAATTAGTGTCTCCCTTCACTTTGTTTTGCTTTAATTCAGAGAGATATTTTAAAAATATATTACTGTTTTAATGAAATTTGTACTGGGAAGAGAGAAGTTCATTTGGTTTCCTTTGTTAATAAAATACAACTGAAATCCATATTTGGTATTCTGCATTACATATTGTAAAAACATTGTTTTTCCTTTTGCACCAGAAAGAAAGAAATGAACACACATTATTCAGTTGCAAACCATCCTCATACATTTTGTACTAGACACCTGCTGTATAAGAAAATAACCAAAAAAGCTCAAAGATACCTCCTGTGGCCTTTCAATCTTGGCCAGGTATTTTTTGGCTGCTTCAGTAGCATCGTTCACTTGCATTTCCAGAGCTGCATGAGATGCCATCTCTTTTGCCAGCTGATTAAGAAGGGTAATAGTACGTCTCAATACACTGGTGAAGAAACACAGTGAACACAGCACAGTAATTCACAGCACAGTAATTCACAGCACAAATCAAAACCAAACAAAACTGCCACCCGTTTTCTTTCTCTGTGAAAACAAAACTATAAAAGGACTGTTTAAGCACACAAAGAGAAACATTCAGGCTCATCAATGACAAATATCAGCAAAATAGACTGAAAATATTTTCATCCATAAAAAAAAAACAACAAAAAAACCAACTCATTTTTACCAGATGCAGAACCTCCCTCCTCCCAAAAATCCACAGCCACTGAAGGTTCAGAGACCCGTTTGCTTAAAGGCTGACATGCTCTTACATAACCATCCTTTTAAAGATGATGGATCTCTGAATACAAGACCCAAGCAACACATTACGGTAAGGAGTACAATGCAAAAAACAACCCCCCCAACCCAAATAACCACCCTGCAACTTTATAACAGGCCTTACAATAATAAAATTAGCAACATGAGCATATTAATCTTCAAAGTACTCTGTCAATACCATATAAATCATAACATGCATCAATGTCAGCACTCGTATAGCACTTCAAATCTAAGCTTTGCAAATACCTCGTTTGATTAGATCTAGGGATTGCCTCTTTGCATTGCTACTTTCATTATTCACCTTGGAGTCTTTCAAAGCAGCATATTGCTGAATCAAGTAAAGGCCAAAGCAACACTGAATTAATTCCTGTACTATAACTATGCAGCTGCTCTTCAAAAGATATTTGAAAATCCAAGTAATTGGCTTTTTCTAACTGAAAACATATTAATAGAACTTTTGGCTTTCAAGGTAAGCCCTCCCTGCCCAGCTTTTTCATTGAAAGCTCCTATTCTTTTTTTGGTTTTAATAAAAAAGTTAAGGTCCCCATGTCACTACTTTTCTACGGGTTAGCATGTTTCACTACTGCTTAGTGATTTACAGATTCAGCAGCTGGGAGTCAGTAAAATTTCATTAATAAAACAGAATCACAGCATCATGTAGGTTGAAAGGGGCTTCCAAAGGTCATCACATTCAAGCTCCTGCCCAAAGAAGGGACAAGCTGAGAAGACTGCTCAGAGGCTTGTCTAGTTGAGTTCCCACTGTCTTAAATGATGGGTATTCCACCATCTTTCATGGTCCTTGTTCCAGTGTTTGACTGTTCTCAATAGCAGAAGTACTTTTTACCACAAGTTGGAATTTCTCAGGTTCCTGGTCTGTTGCCTCTTGTCATTCCTGTGTGAACCTACTGAGAAGAACTAGCTCCATCTTCTCTACATCTTACCACTAGACAGCCATACAAGGCAATAGATGTCTCCTTCAATGTCTCTCTTTCTGGCTGAGGCCAAGCTCCCTCATCCTCTCCTCATAGGTCATATGTTTCAGCCCCAACTCTCAGTACCCCGCTGCAATAATCCAGTGTTTTGGGAAGTCAAAACCAGACACAGTCCTGCAGCACCTTATGTGCCAAATACAAGGGAACAACCACTTCTCTTGACCTGCTGACTACACCCTTGCTATTAAAGCTCAATACATGATTGACTGTCTGCCAGGATCTCCAGATCCTTTTCTACAAAGTTGCTTTCTACCCAGTCAGCCAGCCTGGGTGCTGTACATGATCATTTTATAAGATGTTAGAGTTTGCATTTGCCTTTGTTGAAGTTAAGATTTCTGGCAGCACACTTCTCCAACTTGTCTAGCTCCTTCTGAATAGCAGCCCTGCCCTTCAAGGTATCAACCACTGATCTGGTAGTCTGCAGCTTGCTGAGAGCACCTTCAGTCCCATCATCCATGTTGTTGATAATGACATAAACAGTACTGAACCCAGTACCAATCCTTGAGGTACACTAGCTGAAATTTGCATTATTACCATACTTTGAGCCCAAAGGCCCAGGAAATTTTCCATCCATTTCTTTCTCCACTTCTCCAGCCCATATTCCTCCACAGCTAGGCTATCAGGATACCACAACAGACTACGTCAAAGGTCTTGCTAAAGGCACACAACATCCACTGCTCTGCCCTTTATCCATATACCCAGTCACCTCATTGCAGAAAGCAACAGGGATGATCAGGTATGATCCATCCCTCAGTAAATCTATGTTGGCTGTTTCAAGTCACTGTATCTTTCATGTCCCTGAAAGTGGCTCTGAGTAAGATTTGCTCCATCATCTACCGAGGGAGGCGAGGCTGATTACCCTCTAGTTCTCTATATTCTCCTTTCCTAGTTTTTGTCTTTCTTGAAGACAGCTGTAATGGTTTGCCTTCTTGCAATCACCAGGACCTTCCCCTTGATCATCACAATCTGTCAAAGCTTAGAGTACAGCCTTGCAATGACATTCACCGATTCCCACTGCCTGCACTGTGATGCATTCCCAACCTAGAATGCCGTGAACTTGTATACACCCAATCTGCTTAAGTACTCCCTAGCTGCATCTTCTGCTACTGTGGGTAACGTTGCATACCCCACCAACTCTCCTAGAACGCTCAGAGAATTGGCAGGTCAAACAGCAGACCTTACTAACAAGAAACAACATAATGTAAGGTTGGTAATGAGACACTCTATGTCTCACTCTTCTCCATACCCTTTGTCCTTTGGTCCCCTGCCTCAGTGAGCAGGGGACCATGTTTTCTTTAGCTTCCCTTTTGTTTTCAGTCCTTCTTATCCCTCTCTGGTTCAGCACGGGGTAAGGGCCAGACAAAACTTGGCAGGCTCTCCAGGACATCAAGTCAGATTAGCAGACAGGTGCCTCTGTCCTACCCAGTAAACAGTCTCTGGTAACCATGACACTCCTCTGTCCAAACAGTTCGGTGGATGAAGTCTCAGCTGGTCCCAATACCTCCAAATGATAGGAGGCAATTTTTCTTGTCTGTATGCAGGGTTCTGCAACTGCTGAACCACACAGAGAAAACAGCTTTTGTTGTGTTGCCAGAATGACAAGCTTCCAGCCTCCTCCATTTTGGAAAACTCCTTCTCTCACTTCTGGAATTCTCCTATTGGCTGATACGCTAAAATGAACCAAAATTGACCAAAAGAATGAACTATAGGTATCCAAGTACCCACTCACATCTACATGTTGTTTCAACTTGGCTGGGCAATTATAGTAGCAGTATAGAATAAAGCAACCGAAGGAACACTCTTCCCCCTTTTCTCTGACAGATATTATACTTTTGGATGGAAAAGCAAAATAGCTCTACTAAGAAAAGTCCTTTGGTATAGCCATTAATATACGAATATTTGTTTCTTCTAAATCTTGGTGAAAGGCTAGTATCCAATAAAGGGCTTAAGCCTTCTGGAGCAGAGATTTTATCCAAAAAAAAAAACCAAAACACTAAAAAAAAACATTTCTATTATGGCCACCTGACAAGTTTTCTTCCTTGAAAGCCAAATGAGAGTAGGATCCTGGGGGACCAGCTTCCAACTCCTGTGTAGGACACAATCCAGCTATTCCTCTTTTCGAGCAGAGATCACAAACAGATTTGTGCATATTTACTTAACCATTCTGAAGGAAGCCAGAGAACATGATGCATTCCTATCACTGTTGTGCAAAGCCACAAACACCTTTGTTTTTTGAAAGTTTCCCTGCTTAAGTTTTATATGAATTTTTTCTTGACACTTTCCTTACTAACAGTAAAGAAATTCTTCCTTATACACAATCTAAACTTTCCCTGTTTCAGTTTTAACCCATTGCCCCTTGTCCTATCACTACAGTCCCTAATGAAGAGTCCCTTCCCAGCATCCTTGTAGGCCCTCTCCAGATACTGGAAGGCTGCTATGAGGTCTCCACACAGCCTTCTCTTCTCCAGGCTGAACAGCCTCAACTTTCTCAGCCTGTCTTCATACGGGAGGTGCTCCAGTCCCCTGATCATCCTCGTGGCCCTCCTCTGCACTTGTTCCAACAGTTCCATGTCCTTTTTATGTTGAGGACACCAGAACTGCACACAATACTCCAAGTGAGGTCTCATGAGAGCAGAGTAGAGGGGCAGGATTGCCTCCTTCAACCTGCTGCTCACACTCCTTTTGATGCAGCCCAGGATACAGTTGTCTTTCTGGGCTGCAAGCGCACACCTAAAGCCGGCTCATGTTCAGTTTCTCATCGACAAACACCCCCAAGTCCTTAGCCACAGGGCTGCTCTGAATCTCTTCTCTGCCCAACCTGTAGCTGTGCCTGGGATTGCTCCAACCCAGGTGTAGGACCTTGCACTTGGCATGGTTAAACTTCATGAGGTTGGCATCAGCCCACCTCACAAGCGTGTTAAGGTCCCTCTGGATGGCGTTCCTTCTCTCCAGTGTATCAACCGAACCACACAACTTAGTGTCATCGGCAAACTTGCTGAGGGTGCACTCAATCCCACTGCCCATGTCAGCAACAAAGATGTTGAACAAGACCGGTCCCAACACCGATCCCTGAGGGACACCACTCGTTACTGGTCTCCAGCCGGACATTGACTATAACTCTTTGCGTGCAGCCATCCAGCCAGTTCTTTATCCACCGAGTGGTCCACCTATCAAATTGATGTCTCTCCTATTTAGAGACAAGGATGTCATGTGGGACAGTGTCGAACGCCTTGCAGAAGTCACCAAGCACCTTGTTGTTTTTCATGTGCCTAAGCATGCCTTCCAGGAGAATCTACTCTGAGATTTTGCCAGGCACAGAGATGAGACTGACTGGTCTGTAGTTCCCTTGGTCATCTATTTTCCCCTTCTTGAAAATGGGGGCTATATTTCCCTTTTTCCAGTTGTCAGGAACTTCACCTGACTGCCATGATTTTTCAAATGTGATGGACAGTGGCTTAGCAACTTCATTTGCCAGCTGCTTCAGGACCTGCGGATGGATTTCATCAGGTCCCATGGACTTGTGCACATTCAAGTTCTTAAGATGGTCTCGAAACAGATCCTCTCCTACAGTGGGCCTAGGGTCTTCATTCTCACAGTCCCTGCATCTGCCTTCCAAGACTTGGGTGGTGTGGTCAGAGCATTTGCCAGTGAAGAGAGAGGCAAAGAAGTCATTAAGAACCCCAGCCTTTTCCAAATCCAGGGTAGCCAGTTCTCCTGATAGCTTCCAGAGGGGGCCACGTTGTCCCGAGTCTGTCTTTTATTTGCAATGTAACTACAGAATCCCTTCCTGTTATCTTTCAAATCCCTAGCCAAGTTTAATTCTAACTGGGCCAAATGTCTGTTTCCATTCATTCACATTAGTGAGCGAATAGTGCCCAATTAGTTCATGGGCTCCTTGCCCAACTGAGAACTGCAGGCTGTGGTGGCTATTGTGAAGATTCACAGGTAGCCCTGACTGCTCTTGCTGCCTGATACAGAGCTATCCTTTCTGTTACCCTGTTTTATTAGCTGTATTTAAACATCCTGAAAGGGATACTGCAATTAAGATCATGATATCGTAGCAAGCAGCTGTCAGAAAGCACTTGATCTGAAATAATATCTGAAACTTTCCTCAGAAGCTGCAACATTATCCTGCAGTTCCTAACTTCAAGCTTTAGACAAAGTGGTTTAAGTCAGACTCAAGCTTTGCTTCCTAACTCGCAACACATTAAGATTAGTTAAACACTTTTTAGTTTGAGGGGTTTTTATCCCAGTTTTCCACGATCAAAACAAACTTCTGCAAAATACATGTTTTCTCAAGCATTCAAAATGTTTCTTTCCATGTGTTGCTCACATATTCTTCCAATCTTTAAACATTTGTAAATATCATTTTCCCTGCGCTTACATGCCTCATAGCCAATCTGCTCACACTTAATTCTTTAATCTCTTGAAACTTATCTTCCAATCATTTTTTATAGTTGCATTACTTTGTGCAATAGTTTCTTTAAGAAACATACTATGTAGAAATCAGAAAAATGCTATACTTACAGCCAAAGAAACAAGGAAAAACCTGAGAGATAGAGGTTTCTTTGGGATCGGAAGAGTTTCATCTGAATATGATCAAAGACACTGGAATTGACATTTGCAGCCTTTTCATTCACATGAACTGCTGAGTACTTCTTGACTTCCCTAACAGCATCTGCAAACAAAAACAATTTGTTCTTATTTGCATCTGTGGGTATGATAAAGACATAGTACTGGAAATACATATTTGGACTTTCTGCTCGGCAAACAGGCGCAAGACAAATAATAACATCACTTATGTTACCCATACATTTTAAAGATAGTTCTTAATAAACGACTATAGCAATATAAGACATTTCCACAGATAATGCTAAACCCTTTCCCAAACCATGCTTTAACAGTCATTTCCAACACTTGCACCCAGCCACCAGGGATCAGGCCAAAGCAACATACTCTACAAATGTTACCAGAGACCCTGCAGTCTCAAAACGTTACTGTTGATAATTGAATTAAAATCCAGTCAGTGGACAAACAGTGAAAAAACAGAAAGGAAAAAGAACAGATGCCTTCTGAAGTACTTACCTCATACGGAATTTAGATAGGCATGTATTTTAGTAATGACAGAAGTGCCTATGCTTGAATCACAGAGGGAAAAAATTATTTCTAACATCCATCCAAATAGGAATACTATAGTAACAGTGTTGAACACGAACATTAAAAAGGGGATAACCTACACCTCAGCTTTCTTTCATCTGCCTTTCATCCATCTCTCAGTTTCCTTTCACCTGTCATGTACTCCCGATAGTTCTGCAGAAGGGCCAATACACTGCCAACATTTTTGAAAGGACAAAATAATTAGGACTTACATCCATATAAAACCAAAACCCATTTATAAGTTCCTATTACAACCTATAAATGTAGCCATCATATACACAATTAAGGCAAACAATACCTAAAATCTCTTCTTATACATCAACAAAAATATACATTTCATGACACATCATCAGTTCTTACAGCATATGGTCATCATTCAAGCTCCAGATCCACTAAAGCTTTACTCCTACTTGATAGGCTTCATCATCTACTTGTAACAAATGTAGTCAACAGCTGTTTTGTAGCTGTGCTAAGCAAAAGTAGTCAAATAGCCCAGGGCTTTGATATATTTCTCTGGTGTTCTATTTCAATAGCAACCAAGAGAAAGAGTGCCATCTACTGCATACTGCACAGCTCAGCCAATTCTGGTTCTCAAACATTTCAAGTTCATGTACTTGTGTGAGAAAGGGAAACCAAGCAGCAACCTAGACCAAGCCCCATTTTCCCTCCTCAGTCACTACTACATTACTATTGCATTTGGACTCCGAACATTACGCAGTGTAAGCCCTCTCCTCCTCCATTCTACTGCAGAGCTATGAAACAAATCAGATGATTTAGAGTACAACTCTTTCAATTAATCTACTGCAATGGACTCCATATACCATTTCCCTCACCCTCCATTAAGAAATTATTGAACACTTACCAAGAAACAAGACGATCAGTAAAACTATTATTGTAAGGAACATCTTGTTCCAAAAAACTGCCACTTTGCTCCATAGAGAAATCGTAAAAATCTTCTGCCATCTGTAAAATAGCATTGTGTTATTCAAGAATTAAGCATTAGAAAAAAAGGCATAACAACCTCACAGAACAGAGCTTTATTATTGATACGAGACTTACGTAAGGTCTCTAAAAAGCTGCTTTAATTGCAACATAATTTAGGTATACATAACTTTTCCAACAATCCAACTTGCTTGTCTCCTTTTTGTTTGTTGTCAATACAAGCAAAGACAGTTGGCTCAACTTGAAAACTTCTTGCATGAGAGCAGGTACTCTCCAGGTGTGTTTTATTTTAGCTTTTACTTTGGCTAGCTTACTTTGTGTTCAGTCCTGAACACAAACTCAGTACAATAAATTCAGGGGTGGGGTAAAGATATAAAACCCATTCCAACAATTTATTTCTATCCACTTACACCCCTTGTTGCCAAACAAAATAAAAACCCTTCACAAATTAAGATAATCTCTACCATCCTTCTTCAGAAAGCTTATTTTTTTTACACTGATGAGTCTGCATAATTAGAAAGTTACACAGATTATTATTACATTCTATCTTGCAAATGATAACAAAAGGACAACTCATGTTTATGTTTTGTCAAGGGTTAAAACCTCTTTCAAGAGCATACATTTGTTGGCTAGAGAAGCAACTTCAGAGGCCCACTGGTGGTAAAGACCATTTTGTTGTTGTTTACACAACTGCCTATTCAATATTTTTGCATGGAGAGGTCTGCAAAAATTCACACTTGAGAGTACAAAAAAAGCATGTGATGTGCTCAAATGAACTGAAACTCACAGAGACACCAACAGAACACCCGCTTGTCCTTTGCTGCAGGTTAGAACCACTGCTACTGTACAAGTGAAGTAATACCTAATTATGCCACTGGGGGTAAAACACACACCTGCTAGTCACCATCTGATTATTTTAGGTAAAATTTCCAACTTTTGTTAAGAGTATTTACATTTTCAGAGACTGTTAAAATTCATCCTTCAACAAAGCAGTTTCTAACCTACTGTGAACTTACATTAGACCATTGCATCATCTCCAATGTTTCCTTCTGGTTCTGCACCAGAAAGTGTTTAGCACTGTATGCTCAAAAACCCCATTTAAATCTTTTGGTATCATCTGAATTCTTTATAGCAGACAGCCATGGTTTGTGTCAACAAAAAAGCATACTTCAATTAAGCTAAGCTACAACTCAAAGAAAGCTAACCTGCTAACTCTTCAAACATGTAATTCTCCAAGTTTCATACCAATCTCCACTTAAGAAGTGATCTTCTAAGGTATAATCTTAGGCCAACTACAGAGCCAAGCTATATTCAGGCTAAAACAGAAAATCTTTAACGCAAAGTCTTCCTATGTTACATTTTTACACTTATTTTTCCTCAAGTGTGGGCATTCATTTTACTAACACTCCCATTTCCTTTTGGTGACAGAAGACACATAGATGTAATCTTCCAAATTACAATAGTGGCCACAACTAAAGATGTGCTGCATCTGGCACTACAGTTCTGTCTTTTTGCTTACTTGCATCTTTCTATTGTCAATTTACTTATTCCCCAGGAACGTAAAAGCTCGTTAGCAAATTCAGAACTGAGTTTAACACTCAAAAAATGTGCAGGCACAAAGGAGGCAAACAATCTGTTTGAAGACTGACAAACAAATAAATCAAAACTTCAGAGAACAGCAGCTTCATGTCTGTCTTTAATAGTGCATGTTTCTGCCACTGACAGAACCAGCTTCCAGATCACTAAGAACTGTTGTCCTCTGGCACTGTCAGAGCAGCCAAATCTAATCTGTAACCACACAAGTTTCCTGCAACAGTTTTATTAAGAAGATAATTGCACATGCCACAAAGGATTTCTCTCTTTCAGAAACCACTGTTCAAAGAGCTGAATGCTATAAACCAAGCACAAAAATCTATCCTTTGTATATAATTACAAGCACCATGTTTAGTGTTTGAATAGATTTTGGTACACTTCAGGTTATGAATTTGCTTTTCACAGACATAGATTAGATTCAAGCCCTGTTTATATCACAAGTGAAGCCAATATTCCCAATATACTCTGCATGTGTCATCAGCCTGCAGAAATTCTTGCGGCTTGTTGCCTCACATAAGCCATTAATAATCTGATGATTACAACTCCCAAAATACTTCTTGCTTTTTACATACAGTTGCACTTTTGATTAGGAAACAACAGAAAATACCAGAACTCAATAAGCTATGTTGAAATGCTGAGGCCTTTCCAAGCCAGTTTGTAAAAACTAAAGGTTAGTTTAGAATTTAGAACAGTTTCAAATTCTAAAGTTGAGGAAACATGACTAATCATTGGTATTGGCTGTGGAGGATCCAATCATTTAGACTCTACTACACATTTACGCAGTTAAATTCAGACTCTCTACACAGCAAGGCTTTGTTCCAGGTTTTGTTCCTGAAGGTATTACAGTAAAAGCTACGTTTTTCATCCTAATATGAATTTAAGTTTAAAAATGCAGAAAGCAACGGTATAATGGTTTTTACACAACACAAAGTGGATTTTTTTTTTTTGAAAAAAAAAGCTTTAAGGTTTCATTTTTTTTTGTGGTTTTGTTTGTTTTTTAAGACTTAATAATCTTCTGGAAAGAAATCATAATCATTTCTCTTGCTTCTTGCAGAGAGGCTAGCTTTATTTCCCATACAGAAATAAAAGTAACATTACCAAATTTGAAGAGCTACTTACAGGAAACAAGGTAACACAGTAAGCCAGGCCTTTTATACGATAAGAGTAATTAACACATCTTGTTTCTTTCCCTTACTAAGAGCATTTATTTTACAAGAATGATTATTTTTCTTGGTGTTTGTGTCATGTTCCACAGATGTTATCTTATTAAGCTACATAAAAACTCACAGAGGCCTTTATTTCAGTATTTCTGAAGCTTTTGCATCAAGCTGAAGTCCACATTTTTTAAAAAAAGTGATAACAGGTTTCCTACAGCCCTTACACACGCTATGCGGATAGCTTTGAATATCAGATGTCTCTTATCTCTTCAGCAACCACACTGCCTAGCATATACCACAAGGCTGCAGAGCTGCTCCTCACAAACTTGACAAACAACTCCTAGAAAAGCCTCGCTGTACCCTCATTTCTTGCTGAGCTCACAGCAAGGGAAGCCAGATGTCCTGTATGCTGGCTGCTCCAAAAACCCCAAAGAGGTCCCACTTGCTGATGCAAGCAATGGGGCTCATGCTGGGCACCCTGGCTGCTGTTGGGATGAATCAGCAGTGTATAAAAAACAAACAACACTCTTCAAAAGAGGCTTATGGCGCTTGAGACTCCAGATACTCAAGTCTCAAACAGTATTCTTTCAGCTCAGGTCACAACTAGTTTAAGACGCAACAAAGCTCCGTGTTTATAACAACAAAAGCGTAAAACAGACCCAAGCCGATGAGAAGACAGAGCTGGGGTTGCCATCACACTTAAGTCCTACCTCAGAGGAGAAATAAACGGCAGGCACAGCACCAGGATCACTCCTATTTCACCGTACAGGAAGGTGGCAACTGCCGTCCACTGGAAAGTCATGGTCCCGAGGCCTGCGGATGAAGAGGCGGCTCAGGCGGCATCTGACACCCGGCCGCCGGCAGCTCCTCCGCGCCCCAGCTGCCTCGCGCTGGGCCAGGAGTTTCAAAGGGAAACATCTCAATCTAACTTAGCCGCAGGCTGTGCGGGTGTGTGCCCGTCCCTGCACCGACTGCCCGTCCTGAAACAGCCCCCGCGGCAGAGCTCCTCCGCCTGCCAGGGAGCTGGGATTCTCATTGCTACCACCACCGTCGCCGGCGCAGCCCCGCGCGAAGAGACTGCAGTCCCGCCTGTGCTGCAGGCCGACGGCTCCCTCCCACCGCGCCCGTTCCCCCCTGCAGAGCCGCGGAGGCAAGGTCTGGCCCGCCCCAGGCCCATACCGTTCCCCCTCACGGCAGCCCGGACTTCGCAACCACCTCAGCGCCGGCGCCCGGCTGAGCCTGACGCAGACGAATCGCTAAGCGGCGGGAAGCGGAGCCTCCCCCAGCCGAGCGGGCCGGGGCTACCAAAGAGTGGGCTGGACCTTCCCGCCCGCGCTGTCGGGCGGAAGCAGTGCCCGGAGGATGTGGGTCGGACCGGGACTGAGTGACACAGCGCCCCGAGAGGCAGGGCTGGGCGGGGCGAGGCGAGGGCCACGGCCCGGGGCGGGGCGGAGGGGGCCACCTCCTACCTGAGGAAGGTGCTGGCGAGTTGTTTGCCCGTCGCCCCGAAGGCCGTCCTCGGGGGGCTGACCCCCGGCTGCCCGCGCTCTGGTAGGGCCCGAAGCAAGACATGGACCAATGACCGAGTCTGACTGACTTTATTGAGGACCACGCCTCTGTTGGAAAATGCAGGGATCCCCACGTTGAGAAAAGTTAAATACGGTTTTCACACTGAGGGAATGGTTGTAAGCGTTTTACTCTGGTGTCTTGCTGCAATCATCCCACTGCTCAGTGACTTGAGCTTATTCGATCAGGGACTTCAGCTCAGCTTGTTATTTCTGAAGTTCAACTGAAGTACTGTGTATGCCTGTCTGTCCATTCCCCCCCCCCCCCGTATTACAATATTATAATGTATTAAGATCCCATAAATCTGTTTTCTCCAGGAAAATGAGTCCCATACGCATAAAGACACCATAAGTAACAACCAAACAGCAGTCTCCAATGCTGTCAAACAGGCATGTTTGGACCTCATGAATAAACCAGTATTAATTCAGAAAATCCTGTTCTATCCCACTGTCCTGTGTGGTGATTTTCAGCAGCACAGCGAGGCTCTAAGCACATTATTTCCATAGCTTGTTACCTATTTTCTCATTTCTTGACCATCTCTTTTGCTACCTTTGGAACTCCTGTTCTTTGCCCCTGTATAACCCTTCCCTAATCACTTTTCATTGTTATTCCTAGGTCTGCTGTATCTGTACCCACACTCAGTATTTCTGATACCATTATTTGGGCAGTCTTGGCCTCATGTGCCGTTACTGAGGTACTGATACAGTTACCGGGCACTCTTGGCCCTGTGAGTTTCTAGTTCTGAATGGACCCACAAAACTACTCCAGTAGATAGGAGGTCAGTTTCTGTTGTTCAGTTGTTGTCTAATTAGTCCTTAACCTCTGCTGAAATCCAGCCATGCCTCCCAGAGCTATCTGCAGCTTTTACCAGCTGCTCACACTGCTGCATGTCACATCTGGCAGTTCCACGTGTCATTCATATCCAGTGTTCTGTGCAATCAGAAGTTAGCACAGGCCAGGGCCCACCCAGCAGCTTACTTGACTGCCAGCTGTCCTAACAGATCCTGATGTGCTGCAGGTGGAAGAGGTTACTTGCCTAGCCTGGCATCACCAGCCCTCTCGACACAACTACTTGCTTTTGGGAATGCTGTCCCGATTAATTTCCATCAAAATGAGACAGATTAAATGCCGTTAACAGTCGTTCTTTGTTACTTTAATCCATTGGAGCTGACACGGGGTAGGAAGTTCTTGCATAAGCAGTTTTGAGCAGAACTGTTTGCAGCTGCTCACAATCTGAAATTGTTTACACGAAAATTTCACAGGTCTGTGGCCTGGGGATGGAGCCAGTGTATTAACATTTTCCTAGCTGCCGCCAAGCAATGTCTGGATGAAAGGTTATATCCCAAATAATTTTTTATGCATAACAAGTATTGGAGAGTGACACAGTGATACAGCCAGCTATTTCTATCCAGTCTACACAGTGGAAACAGCTTGGGTTTTAAGAAGTATTTCTAACATGTTTTCATAAACATATTTAATCAGAAGTATAGACAAAACATAACCTCTTAGTATGTCCTGGTTATTACATTTTAGCTATTGGCCTACAGCCATGATACTTTATTTAAGCTGTTAAAATGTTATTACATACTTTCTGTCCTTTAATTCCAGAGCAGTTCCCATTTCTGAGCTGCTTACCTCTTACTAGCGCTGTAAGCTGCTCTCCCAGCAGCTTAGCCTCATACTGGTAGGACCATATTTGCACATCCCTGCTGCCAGAGACTCCGCTTTTTCAATTCAGGGGCTTTGTAAAATCTCAGATTCACTCTACAGTGACTGCTGTGCATTTCCACTGCAACTGGTGCATGTTCCCCACCGACCTGGAGTGAGATCTGAGGAACAGAGAGAAGCCTCCTGCAAGCACCTGTGAGACCTCCCTTCTCCTATTGAGTGCATTCTGCCACTTCTGGAAGGTATTCTACTGAAGCTGTACAAGTCTGGGTTGTTGATCTAAGGATGCCTATTCTACCATATGATAAATATGACAGACAATATATATAATGTCTGGCTGCTTTGGGAAAAAAACCTCATGAACCTTAAGACATTATAGCTATAAGAAATAAGTTTTTCTCCCACCAGTAAGGTCACAAGGTATTCAGAAGTAGAAATACAAAACACCTGTGTCTTAGCAGCTGGTTTGAGGACAGAAATCTCGCTAATTCTCTGCTGAAGCAAAGGCAAAGTTTGAATTTGTTTCGTTCTAGTTTGTCTTGTATGACAGCTTATATGGCTTGTATAACATCATCACACACTGCATTAACCCAAGACAGAGACCTAAGAATCAACTTACTGGTAAGGAACAGAGAAAATGGTATTGTATGGGCTGTGTGACATATTGCTGCAGCAGGGTAAAAGTTATAAGAAAGTAGAGATATTACAAGAATATGGCATTGTTGTGTAGGGTGGCTTAACACCCTGGACAAAGAGCTGGACCAGCTGCAGGAGGCAAAGGACCTAAAAAATGAAACAAAACTTTGTATCTTATCTTACTTGAAGAAAAACTTTAAAAAATTTGAAAATTAGAAAATAGACTCAAATTTGAAAATTAGAAAAGGACTAAGTACCAGGTGACATTGTAACTAACATATACAGGGGAAGTGTTCAGGACCATCTTAAGAACACAATGCAGCTGCATATGCGAGGCTAGCCACAAAGTGCCGGCGTAAACGGACCAAGGAGAAAAATAATGTTTGCTCCTCATAGACTGCTTCAAACAGGAAGTTCTGGGAGCAGAAGATTATCTTGTACTTAACCCCTATGTAGTCCTAAAAAGAAACAGTCTGCAAGAGCCATGATTGCTTAAGCAACAACATAGATTGCTGCATCTAAAGTACAGATCAGCTAGAAACAGTAACCAAGGAAATGGTTACAAAAAATGGTGACTGAGTAACCTGTAGAGGAATATTTGTGTGGCGGGTTTTTACTGGTTGTCATAACACCCTTGTAAGCTTAAAGTATACAATCAAGCAACTTTGTTAAGTAAATGATTCTGTACCGCCATGGAGTTCATGTCATCATACACCACAGGGAAGGAATCTATCTAATAGCCTTAAACTGGGGATGAGGATTTTTCCATATTCAAATGGCTTATAATCATAGAATCATAGAACAGGGTTGGAAAGGACCTTAAAATCATCTAGTTCCAACCCCCCTCCCATATTCTAGAACAATGCTGGGAGTTAAACAGCTAACTCCCATCTTTAGCAATTTATATATATTAGAACAGTATGGGTGTTCAGACTACAGCTATAAACTCCAATTTTGCCATTTATTCTACATCAATACAGTGGAGTGTGTTCAGATGTATACAAAATTCACAAGAGAAGAAGGCTTAAAATTAATTTCATTCTTAGAAAGGGATGATAAACTTCTGTAGACTTTCATGGTGCATAACTGACCAGATAAAGCATTCTTTAACTACTAGCAATATTAACAGCAACCTTGTACTTCAGGCAGAAATCTCTGTGATTGATCTCACACAGGCACAACAACTGCTGTCTTCAAAATTATCAAGTATTCAAGTCCTAAATAGGTCAAGGTATTTCAAGTCCTCTAAAATTTGCATTCCCCCCTAAGAAGAAAAAAAAAAGCACCTTGCATTTGTATTATTTGATTATAATAAATAACTTTTTCTTCTCTGCTCCTTGTGGCTAATGGGGCAACTAATAGCTGCTTGTCAAATCACAAAAATCTTAAGGAAATGCTAACACAGGGCTTGGTTAGTACTTTAAATAATCCCTTTCTTCTACGTTTCAGCTGTATGGTTTTACTTTTTAATTTTGATGCAGAAGGCTGGAGGCATTTTCAGAACTGAGGAGAACTGAGTATTGCACTGTAGTTGGATGAACTTGAGGTTGGAAATTGAGCAGTCCTAAGTACTATGTCATGCATTTGGGAAATAAGAACTTTTGCTGTAGAACAGGGAGCTCAGAAATTACATGATGAGTATTAGTCAAGGAAAAGTGAAGCATCAGAAAGAGAAGTATTAACTGCAGAAGACATTGCTGGGGTTTTTTCCTGGAATACAACATACAATTGTGCTCATCCAATGTCAACAAAAAATTACAATCCAGAAGGGTGAAAAAAACCAGTTGTCTGAAGGAATGTAGGACCTATTGCACCAAAAAAGGTCGCACAGATTTTCTCAATTAGCCTACTATAGCAAAGCATGTCTGTCATTTTCCATTTGTTAACACATCAGGAAGGTGACCATATTGGAAGTTATGTAACTCCATTGTCTTAAATAGTGAACTAGACTTGATGACCCAGGTCATGCCTTTCAAACTTATGTTCATATGCCTAAAGCAGACATCTTCATTATGAAAAATGATCTTTTATGCAACTGAATTAAAAATTTGTGAGTATTTTGATATCTAAATGATTTGGGAAGTATCAACAAAAGGAAACTCCCCTCCCCCAGGTTGTCATAATTTATAGTGTAATAAAAAATAAGTACAATTGTATGGAAAACCAAGTAATTTATTTAGAAAATTTAGAACTATTCACTTGTATATTCACAGAAGTCTCAGAGGCAGAAAGTGAAGCAATTTCTGGTATGAATTTCTGTGTAAACTTTGAAAGAAAACAAATTATTTGATTACAAATAATTGTACCATACAGATTTGTGATATTTCCCTTGCAGAACAAGTGCAGCTGTTGTGTAATGTTATTATCTTGTTCTAATTTTCACTATTTCCCTCCTATACAAAGATTCAAAGCCAAGTGGCTGTCATGCTTTGATAAGCAACATACCAGCAGGCAAACAAGGACTTCAAGAGCCCCACTGAGAAAAATCTGTCAGCTTTTATTTGACCTATAAAGTTCTGTTTTGGTAGATGCGATTTAATATTTTATATAATCATTATACAATAAATAAACAAAACTGAATTTAGTTAGATTGAACTTTCAAGTCCTGTATTTTAGATTCAGCTAAGTTTGAACATTGAGATAGTTTAAGCTACCTCTTCATTTTACCCTTTTCCTTCCTTCCATCATCGTTTATCTATTCCAGGCTTCTTCCACTATATGAAGTGTGGTATTTTTCTGAGTTGGAAGTAAGTTTAGAAAGTTTTAGTCTGCAAAAGCAACATCTATTTTAAAAGAGCATACTGTGCTGGGCTTCCAGGCCTCAGAGTCTTTTAAGCTTGAAACATCTATTCAAATTTAAAAGTACAGCTTAGTCAGTTGAGGCAAAAACTTCTACAACTTCTCCCTTTGTATTCTTTCGGTTTGAAATTCTTGGTATTATTTATAAGTAGTCCTAATTTTTGGAGGTTTTATGTAAGAAACGTCCTAGTTTTGCAAACACTGCTATATGCAATTGTTTGGTGAAAAAATAAATTAAAATTACTGGAGTCTTACAATAATCAATCCTCTGTGTAGTAGTGCATTGGAAAAAGAATTCCACATTTGTGCAGTCTGGACTATCTTCTAGAGTGAAAAATGCTGACATAAAAATACTAAAAATATAAAGTATCACCTTGATCAGAATGTTTTGCTGTGTTGAAAATATTTACTCAGTATAGGAATGTGACTAAAAAGTAGAAACACAATTAAAAATTTAACAATGTATTGATAATTGCAGAAATACAAGTTCATATAGAACTAAAATACTTTCTCTTATCACAAACCATAATGGTCATTCAGATAATCTAGTACTGCTGAAGTACTTGATAAAACATTAAAAACTTTCTTTTCTTGCTTTGAAGTTATGCGTTCCATCATGTACATTAAGTGATGGTGAAAACATGTAAAAGGAGTTCCAAGCTCAAGAGCAATGTCAACCCAGTCCTGGATGCACTTCAAAGGTGTCTCTTCATATCCTGCAAACATTGCTGGATTTGCTAAGAGTCCTCTAGCCACCATTACACCTTCAAATTAGAAATTAAAGCAGTAAGTTACACTAAATCTTTCTGTAGTTTTTTATAGCACCCCCTTAGGGCAGCCACCCAAAACTTACAGGCAAGTAGTGGGAGAACAACAGGGATGGGTATTATAGCTGTACTGGAGAAACACATTTAACAATCTAAACCTCAGAGTACCTACACCTGTCAGCACATTCCACTTGATGATGTCTCCAGATGGATCTCTCCAGAATTGTGAAATGAAGCCCAGGACACAGGAGCCTTGCTTCCCTATTTTTGAAACTGCAACTCAATTGTATTTTGGTTATGTTTGCTACACACATACAAACTTGCCTTTTTAACATAATATTACAATGGAAAGATGCAAGAGTAGCAGTAGGCTTAGTTATTTTAGTGCAACTAGGCTAATTTTGCTGACCTATAATCCTTCTTCCAGTAAGAGCTCGATGTCTCAATTCTATGAATCTCAGGGCTCTTGATCTGCAGTAAACCTTTCTGAGCAAGCCAGTGTATTTGCAACTGTACCCCCAAATTATCATATAAACCCATACAAGTTCTATTGTAAGTTTCCTGTGATTAAGGGATTCTGTTTTCCTGTACTATCAACATACAACCTATCACACTTAGACTTTTCTTAAAAGAGAGGAAGATAAAAAATGAAAAATTTGTTTTACTATTGTACATGACAGAAAAAACCTGATAATTTATAATTTTGTTATTGAAGGTCAACTGGGCTATGAAAATATTCTTTTGTGTTACATAGTTCCTTCCTGCTTTGTACTGGGGGGGGGGGGGGGGGGCAGTCACTGTAGCAGCATAGCAGTTTGGTTCAACTGGTCTCTGCTGTTGCCATTAAACACCAGTAGTGTCAAAAGAAACGTGCCACATGAACTTTTCCTTATGACACTAGCTACTTGTCTCTGTCCTGTTGTTCTCTAGCTGAAAGACCAAAGTGTGTTGATACAGATCATACAGAAATTCAGATCTACAGATCTGTAACTGCAGGGCAATCCTGCAAAAAATCCTCAAATTTTACCACTGAAGTGTAGGATAAGGTAAACACATAGATATGACAGTGCAATACCTCACTGTGTCCTTGAAGCTAACCATCTTAACTGTCAAATATCCGGCTTAAGAATAGTTCATTTTCCCTCCATATTCTTATGGTGAGAAATCTGACCCTATGTGCACAAAGTAGATATTTCCAAGTGGAACTTCACAGCTCTTTAAAAGATGTTCAGCTCCATAAGGAGATAGACTGAATGTCTGAAGGTCTCCCTGAACTCCACTACTGAATGATGAGATAGCATAATTAAGCAAAGAGCTTTTGTAATTTGCTTTGGAAATCATCGTTTGTGGCTTTGAATAGCAGTGCCCTAGTGCATTTACAAGTGATTCTGTTTATGATTTTTATAAGTCATCTAAAACACCCTTCTTCATTTGTCTCCTCAAAGAGTGTAAAGCACTCGAATCATGTCCTACTTATAGCTAAAATAAATACTTCAAAATCTCATTTGTAAGTTTACTTAGAAAACAAAGTGTTTAAACTTACCATCTGCTCCTGTCAAGTGATGAACTTTTTCAGCATCTCTTAAAGTTCTAATGTCTCCATTAGCCACAATAGGTATAGACATGCTTTGTTTAATTATTTTAATTGCATCATAATGTACAGGCTGATGTCTTTCTTCTACACTTCTCCCATGTACTGTAATCCATGAAACTCCGGTTGCTTCAGCTTTTTGACACAAGTCAACTGTTCTTTTTAAGTCCTCATGGATCCTACAATTTCACAGAATGAAAACATTAGATAATAAATTACCTGAACTGTCTAAAACGCTGTCCTCCATAAGGAGGAGTTATCACAGATTTGTATAAATCACTATAAATACAGAAAATATTACTGTTGGAAGATAATGAGGTTTGGTTTGTTTGTTTCAATAAAGACATATGAGTTTAATGTACGGAAACCACTATTTAATTTATCATTTCCTAATTACATCACATCTCTGAAATATACATGATAAATTTTACAGAGATTGAACAAGGGTGTCCAAAAGATTCTAAACCAAACATCATTATTTTGCTTCCTTTATGGGGGAAAAGAAAGAACAATTATAGTAGTTCCTCTTTCTCAGAAGACTGGAAACTGTGTTGAAACTTAACTGGCAAATATGCAAAAGCCGTATGGGATGTGTAATTATGGGATGAACAGTGGAAGGAGTACAAAGCAATGCAAAGCAACAGTTTACAGAAGGATGTGTTCCTTACAGCAGCTGTGGGGACTAGCTCCCAGTTTTGTTACCCTTCCCTTTATAGCCAGCAGCAAATGTGGCTCTGGCCTCCAGCAGCTCACAAAGTAAATCCTTGTGATGATACACACTATGCGTTGCTTTTCTTTTATGGAACCACGAACCTTTTAACTGGTACTTTCATATCATCTGGATTGCAAGAAAACTCTTAGCATCCAGTATGTTACCTGGATAAGTAGTCAAAGCCTGTGCTGGTTCTACTATCTAAGTCTGGTTTACTTTTCCCAGATATTCTTTCATCTGGGGTCAAAAAAATCTCAGCAGTCTTTACATGTAAGGAAAATATTATAATGCGTAATATTACATTAACAGAATTACATATAGTGTACTTGTTATATGAATGTTTCTTAAAAAAACTAAAAGGATTATTCCATGTATCACAAACATCACTTAGATCTACCTTATTTTAATAGATACTGAAAATCTTGGTTTGTCGATCTGATTCCGTACGTGTCTCACCATATCTTGAACAAGCTCTGGTTTATTTATTAAGCAAGCACCATAACCTTCTGCCATCGCCCACCTTTAAAAGAAAAAGAACATGTGTATTCCACATTTGAAAAAATGCAGATCAATTTCAGTCAGATACATTGGTTTTGTTCCTTACAACCTTCAGAATGTGTGGTTGAGTAGACTGAGATAGTACTGGCTGTAGATCAATGATTCGTTTGCAGTTTGGCACCAGCTTTTAGATGTTGGTTCAGTCTCCATTTGGACAAGTTACTAATCTCTTCCAGTTCAATTTTCTGTCCACAAAATGGACTCACAAGGAAGATAAATTAGCACTGGTTTACAGTATACATAAAACAAAAAAAAATGATGCTTTCCCCTCCATCGGGTCATGGATTTCTTCTAAACAGAAAATTATTTTGGATTGAAAAGGGAGATTTTTGAAGTGCAGGGCAGGATCTGAGTTCAGTAATATTCTGTTCTCCCTCAGCTGCAAAACACCTTATTTTGATTGGCATGAAATAACCTTTACTTCCACTTAACAGCAACAGGTTTTTTCTTATATATTTTTTCTTATAAAGGCAGATTAAGTGCAAAAAGTTTTGATATTTTGAAAATAGCATGTGCAAGAAACAAAGGATTCAAACGTAAGCATATATTTTTGTCCTAAAAGGAACTTACAGTTTGGCATACTTAACTGTAGTTAGCTTAGAAAAAAAATTACATTTCCATTCTGAAGTCTCAGATCTCTCCAGAAAAGACTTTTCTCAAATACTGTAATTTTAAGTCAAGACAGTCTAATTAGAATAGACAAGTATTGGCACTGTAGTATTATCTTTTGCTTTCCTACATTTGAGGTCTTCACTAAGAAAAAGGCTGCCTGACAAGCATGGAATAAATGGTTCTCAATTGAACCAGTTAGCAAGAATCTTCATTTATGCATTACTACTCTGTTTCCCTGTCAAGACAAAATCTTTATTAATTTAAGAGAGAAGTAGATCACTAATTCACTGTACTTATAAACCTAATAAAAGATGGAAGAAATTCTTTTCAGCACTTCCTGAATAATGTAGTCTGTATAATTATATTTTAGAGACTATCCTTCACTTGCAGAAATCTGAGACATCAGGGACTTGGCTCATTATTTTGGCAATTGCCACATCACTTCTCAAAACACTCTCCAAATTATTTGCAGCAAGCTGGTTTTGGTAATGCATATTTAACAGCTGCTGAGAAGGAATGGACACTTTACTTCTTAAGCCAACACTCAGTATTTCAGAAATGAAAAAAGGTAGGTTGGCAAATACACCTGGTTTTCCCAGTTTCACCATGGTGACAGGCATCTTAGAACATTCAGAAGTGTCTTGCCACATAGACATTTTTGACAGGTTAAAAAGCTCTTTCTCTCTCAGAGTCTATTTTTAAGTTAAGACAGAAATGACTATGAAAATGAAGACCAGCATTCTTTACTCTCAAATTATTTTATCATTATTTCACCGAGCTTTTTCAAATCTTTACCTCTGAGGACAGCCACAGTTTAGGTCTATTCCATCTGCAAAAGGACAGATGATCCGGGCAGCATCACACAAAACCTGTGCTTCTTTGGCAGCAAACTGAACAATCAATGGATGATCACCTACTCCAATGAAAAGGTACTTAGAGATTAAACAAACAAACACCCCCCCCCCCCCCCCCCCGATAATAACAACAAAAAATAACAAATTCTAAATTCATGGACTGTCTGGCCATGGTCCTGGGCAAACAGCTCTAGGTGATCCTGCTTGACCAGGGGGCTGGCTAAGAGGACCTACACAGGTCCTTTCAAATTTGACTATTTTGTGACTCTCTGAGCCCTGGATCACAAATAAATAGGGGTAGCTGGCTAGTGGTTACTAAATCAGTACGCGTATCAAGAGAGGTAGGAATTCAAACAAACATATCTGTCCTAGACAGTTGCTGGCTCAACATATACATTTTCTGACTGAAACTGGTCAGATGCTCATCTTTCACAAACATGGTATATGAAATTAAGTATTCTCTATTTTTCAGCAGTCTTCATGCTTCCCCTCCTGGCCTGCCCCTTCTTGTCTGCATGCTGCCCCTTTGCTGTGCTGACATGGCTGGCTGTCTTGCCAGGTAGAAAACTTGCTTACAGAACCACCCCTTCAGAAAGGGGCCAAACAACACACAAGCTCTTCCCTTCCTTATGCTGGCCCATCTCTTTCTTCTTCTGTGCCAACATAGCTGATTTTTATCCACAATGTGCTATGCAGAGTTGGAATGAGAACACAGGGGCAGAGGCAGCTTTAGCAGCTTTGTCTCAAGCGGGAAACCAAAGTGTCAGTAATCCTCAACTCAGGTCTGCTGAACCATTTGTGATTCACTAAAACCCCTGCGAAGAGCCAGATGGTTATTTGGACCATGCTCTCCTCTTTTACAGCCACTGCATTACATTAAAAGCATCTAAAAATATCTCAGTGTTAGGGTAATAAACTCAGAAATAAAACTGGAGTGGCAGCAAAATAAGTGTGTTCCAGGGTGGCTGTTTTTTGGAGACTGGTTCAGCATTGGTCTGCTAGTGCTAGGTGGGAAGTGACTGCCTTTGCATCAGTTGGTCTGTTTTTTCCTCCTTCTTTCCTTCACTTATTAATCTATCTTTATCTTGACTTACGAGTTCTCGCTTTTGTTCTGTTCTCCCCCTGTGCTACTAAGAAGGTGGAGAAGGAATGAGTGAACAGCTGTGTGGGTGGTTGATGGCCACCTATGTTTGGTCAACCCACCACAGATCTCAGTTTTCCACTATTTCATTTGACACACTGTCACTGGGATGTGTTTACTTTCACCTAGAATATTTCTATGGTTTTATAATCAATCAGATACAGTATAACAAAACTGTTAATAGATGTCAAGCTGTGTGACAGACTTCATTCATTTGGCCAATTTAGCTTATCACCATGTAAAACATTCTGACAAGGCAACAGTTTATTAAAAAAAATACCTTTGTTGGTTGTGAATTCGCTGTCCCTCGCTTTTGCAGATCTCACAAAATCAGCTGCTACTATCATTGGCGTGTAACATAAATCACAACTGTATTTCCTAACCAGGGTTCTGAAAGCCAACCTGCAGACACATGAAAATCAAAAAATAAATAGTAAAGCCATTTTCCTGACTAGCTGCTCTAAAATGCTGTTCTGACATGCCGTACTCTGGGGATATCTAATATTATCATTAGGTAAAATACATCCCACATCTGTCAAATGTCTAAAAGAAAAAAATGCAATAATCCCTGTTTTTTGCAGTCAAGATAAACTTCCTCACAGAACAAACACTGAAAACATAGCTGACATGACAGTTACTTACTTGGAATAGCGGACCATGGGGGCACATATTTTTACAACTTGCCCAGAATGAAACAAATCCATGGGATCTTTCAGTTGGCATTCTTTAGTTTCTATGTCACCAATCATGTATAATTAATCTTTTTAACATCTGGAAAAACAAGCAGTGTTTGAAACAGAAGTCATTCAGCTATTTCTGACAGGCCATGAAGCAGCTTGCTTTTCAGCAGAGCATCCTGCAAGCAGGCCCTTGCTTGCGGAGTGCTGGAACAAGCTTTTTGCCACAGCCAGCTGCTGAGCACTGGCCTTGTTGTACTGTGCCATCCCCAGGCAGTATCACCCATGTGTTTTCATTCACAGAATCACGGACTGGTTTGGGTTGGAAGGGAACACAAAGACCATCCGGTTCCAACCCTCCCTGCCATGGGCTGGGACACCTTCCACTAGACCAGGTTGCTCCTAAGCCCCTTCCAACCTGGCCTTGAACACTGCCAGGGATGAGGCAGCCACAGCTTCCCTGGGGAACCATGCCCACCCAGGGCTCACATCTCGCTCGGGCTGGAGGGGAGGTTCTCAGCCACCTCTCAGCGCAGGGCCGGCTCCAGGCAGCCCCTTCCCTGCCTCACTGAGGAACTTTTTCCTCATGCCAGGTGAGAGCCGCCCCTGCTCCAAGCTCGCTGTCCCTCTTCCCGCTACAGGCCCGGCTCCCGCCTCCTCTGCCCGCACGGCGGGGGCTGCGGCCTGACCGCCCCGGCCTCAGCTCGCTCCCGCCTGTGGGTGCCTGCGGGGCTCGGAAGCGCGGACCCCAGGAGCCGCCTCCCGCCGCACTCCCTGCGGCCCGGCCCCACGCTCACCACGTGCGCGAGCACCCCGCCGCCGCCCTGCCGTTCCCGGGGCGGCCCCGCTCCGTCGCGCGCTTTCGCCATCATCGCGGCGCGCCGCGGCCCGGGAGTGACGCGCGGGCTCCCGGTACCTGCCAGCATGGAGGAGGCGGGGGCAGGCGGCGGAGCGGCCCCGGCCCCGGCCCTCGCAGAGCTGCTGGCGGACGGTGAGGCGCGGCCCTCGGCGGCGGCTGGGGGGGTCGGCGTGGAGGGGTGGGGGGCAGCTCCCGGCTGTGACTCCGGCGGCGGGACCGTGCCGGGGTCCCCCTCTGCGGGCGGTCCGGGGAAGGCGGAGGGTCCTTTGCTAGGACTGGCTGCGCCGGGGAGGAGGCGGCGGTGCTCGGGCACGCGGCGAGCAGGGCGGTGAAACTCCCCCGCTGTCAAGTCACGGGAAGTTTCGGCGGCGGAGGAACGGCCGGCGCCGGGCAGCGACCACAGCCCTCCCGGTGGGGAGCCTTCCGCTGAGGGCCGAGGGTCCTGGTGGCGGGGCCCTGCGAGGTGGCGTGTTGCTGCTGAAGGGAGAAGGAGTGCACAGGAAGGAGAGGTGAAGGCGCTCGGTAATACCGCTGTATGGAAGCTCGGCTGTTGCTTCCCTCAAAGTCTCCCTCGCAGTATCATCTCTTAATTCACTGTTTTATAAAGCAGTGCCCTTATAAGAGACCTTAATGGTTTCAGGAAGATGTGTCTCATGCCACTTCGATCCTCAGTGATTAGAAGGTGCCTGGTGTCTGTGTTTGATTATGGCTACAACCTCAACAGCCTCTCCCTAGTTGCACTGTGAAGTTTGGAGAAGTTATAGATACTTTTTAGTGTATTCTACTCAAGAAAAGGCAATGTGGAGTAAAGGTATACGAGTCTTTATTTACAAAAAAACCCAACCCCCAGTCATCAGCTCCAAACTTGTTTCTTTTGATTGTGGTTTCTTCTCCAATTGGTGTCACGTTTGTATTGTGTGATACAGAGAACATAAGCTGTTATGTTTGGAGAAACTGAGGCTCAGAGAACTGTATGCTTTGGGTCTAGAAATGTTCTTTACCTGTTCTGAGCTGTGAAAGTAAAATCAAAATGTTTTTCAGAATGTTACGCTGACTTCTTCAGAGAAGACTTTGATGTGAAAGCTTATACTTCCCAGTCTATCCATCAGGCTGTGATAGCTGAGCAACTGGCAAAACTTGCCCAAGGTATTAGTCAGTTGGATAAAGAGCTTCATTTACAAGTAAGTTTAAAGTGTACCTGTTATTCTGGGGTGGTTGATATAAACTTGTCAAAAGCTTAGTAATCTTATGATATTGTTGCTTCTGAAATTGCCCACTGTACTCTGCAAGCAGTAACTAAAGGTACAGCTTGCAGCAAAACTAGTAGTGAGTCTGATGCTTAACCTAGTTGAGCCCACTCTTTATACCCCTTACCAGGAAGCCATATGCTGCTTTTAGTTTCTGCAGCCTATTTCTGCATACATGGAAGTTCTGCACTTCCTTGTAAGGATGTTCCCTGACTCTTTCCAAATGATCATGTCAGCTATCAGAACTGCTGGACTGTGTTTTGGGATGACAACTGTGATAAAACAAGGATTGATTTAACTTGTATCCTTTCATCCTGTGATGGAGGGTAGCCTAGGTTCTAAGACTTACCTTTAGTGGGGCAGCTATAACCTATGTTAGCACATCTCCACACCTACAGGAAGGCTTTTGAGTTTGGATAATAGAAGGGTTTTTGGTAAAATCTACACAGACACCACAGATCCACAGTGCACCTTGCAGTGAGAATGCATGCTAAGTGCACTGTTTCAAAACCTTCTTCCTCCCTCTCCCTGTTCAGTTAGTAAATTCTTTGGGAACTCGTATCTAAATGTCATAAATAGAAAATATTAATAATTTGAGTATAATTATTACTATGTGATTAATAAGCTTAAAATTACAGTTGTTATTATCTATGATGGTGTGTTGAAGTGTGATTGCTCTGCTGGCTCGAAGATGTCAGCTGTGCTGTAGTTATTGACCCTCTTCTTGTTCTGAGCTTGTTGCTTTGTGTTCCGAAACCTTTCATCTTTAAGGTGTAGTTGCTTTTTCCTGTGTCTGCCTAATGTAGGGTGGATGAGATACTTTAATGCCCAATGTAGGAATGATGATGATGTACTGATATTCCTTTCAGGCACACATTCCCATTTTTCTGTGTTGATTGATTTTTTTAAGGTTGTTGCAAGACATGAAGACCTGTTGGCCCAAGCAACTGGAATTGAATCCCTGGAAGGTAAAGTATATTATGCTTGCTACTTGTTACAATGGAGGAAGCACTATTAATATCTCTGCAGGAAATGCCGTTCACTGCCAACTTCGGCCCCTGATGTTAAGGTTGCAGATCTTACTTCTGAGGAGTAATGTGGCAGCTTTATTTTTTTTTATGTCAGTAGATGGAGCTCCAGGGAGAAGATTTCGCTGGTACTTCTGTGGAGTTAACTACTTCATAGGAAAACATACTTTGATAGTCAGTTCGGAGCAACTTTAGCCATCAAATCTTTTTGACCTTTTAATATATTTTTCTAAATAAGCCTAATTTTGTTGCAACATTAGCTGATATCTGCTGCTGTAAGTACCAAGCATATGCATGTTGCTTATGCATGTGTTGCATGGTTTGCAAGTCTTAGCCTTAACACATAATCTTGATTGCATTGGAATATTTTTTTTCCTAGAAGGGGGCTATTAAGTTATATACATACCTTTATGTTATTCCACTGTTTGGCATCTGGATTTTAATATAAACTGCAGACTTTCAAAGGCCTTACTTACAAACAATTAGAAAAATAGTTACAATATTTTGTTCTTGTGTAAGGACCTCATCAAGCCTGCCATTCTGCTCTTTGTCACTTACTGGGAACTTCTTGGTTTTTCTTCAGAAAAATATATTTACCTCTATAACACGCTAATTTGCATATACTATGGGATTCAAGCATATACCCTTTTTCCTTTCATTTTGTAACTTGGTAAGTATTTTATGTATTCCTCCTTCTTCCAGGTTTTGGCATAACCAGAGAATTTCTGGTTACTGACAGTTATAGTATCTCCTTAGCCTTTGGAAGTTGCTGGATACAGTATTTGATAGCATTTGTGTACAGCTATAAAAAGAAATAAAAGCTTATTTAATCTAGCAGTGGTAGCTCCTGAATATCTTTTTTGACAGTTGGAAAATTAAGCATATGAAGACTGGAATCTGTGTTCACCCTCCAAATAAGAGGTAGATAGGAATCTGTAGTTAATCTTGTGATTAATAAATACCTCCCAGTCATGATCTTCACCAGTCTGTGCTCAGTGGAATGTTGTTTTGTGAAATCATGGTTGTCTCTGAAAGCATTCCTTCCTAAAATTGCTCTGAGGAAAGAATGAAGTACTTCAAAACAGCTCTTCAGTTATAAAATATGTCTGTAAAGTAGGTGTGGTAAATAATGCATATTTTAAAATTAATAACCTAAAGTAAAAATAAAATCTAATTCTCAAATTTATTGAATTGTCTTCATTTCCTTAGCACTGTGATCTTGTAAGAGGCCATTTCTGTGTGTGAGGGAAGGAGAAGCATGCAGAGGTTCTAAGCTGAAAAGTATTTGTTACTCGAGACATCAGTAGGAACTTCAGTCTGCAGTTGCCAAGAAAATCAAAAGTCTAGGCAGATGTTTCAGGTTTTGCAAGGCTTTCTTATCTATGCTTGTGAGATATATGGTCACTGTAGAAGAAACACTTGAGTCAAGTTTCATAAGAGGAAGAAAGATGGATGTCAGTAGAAATTTTAATTATGAACTTGGAAACACATAGGTAGCTCAATAGATACCTTGAGCTCAAGGTAGGCTAAATAATATCATCCCATATCTTATGCAGCAGATGGAGAGGGTTGATTGCCTTTTCACCCATTCTTATTCTGCCTTCTGGCAAGAAGACTGCTGTATGCTTTATAGCAATGTCACAGTCATATATGTAGTAAAGTTGAGCTACTGGCCCTCCCCCCATTATTGCAATGTAGAGTAAAAAATAGCCTATTCTGCCAACTTTTCACTGTATCTCATGTCTTCATCCTCTGAGGCGTAAGAGTTGCATGCCTGTCATTTCATGTATAAATGTCAGGGAACTCCAGAGTCTGTCACTAGGCCGTGTTAATAATTCTGAAATATGGAGAAGATGGGAGTTTGCATATTAATACAAAATACATGAGATACAGTCCCAGTACAGGACAAGCTGAATAAAACTATTAGCAGTAGTTATGTGTGTCTTCCATCTTAGTATATCATATTGCAGTTTTATCCAATTTGATGATGGCATGCTCGTAAACAGGGCTTCACAAAAAAATGTTACATGTTTGAGAATGGCAAACAGTAACTGGAACAAAAATAATTTCATAGGCCTGGGTTGGTGTAACTT